ATTCGAAGGAAAATTTTTAGGACGTGGCTCATTAAACTGATAGTTCTGTAATCAGAGCACCTCCTAGAGTTTCCCTTTTGGGGATCATAAAAATAGATGTAATTACTGTTGTAGATTCTTCGTTATATTGTAAACATTGAAATAACTGGAAGCTAAACTTTCTACCTGCTTATATTTAGAGCCAGTGTCTGACCATCTTTTTTTACGATGGCCCTAATATCACCTAATATGTTTACTTCTAAAGTCGATAAGGGCGCCATATCAGTAGAAAAAAGAAACAGAATATTTCCCTTTTTGTCGGTCGCGCGTACACAATGCTTTTTGTTTGTTGTGAATAGCATCTTCGCTTTTTAGTTAACTCGGATATTTTAACATTTCTGAAACAATATTTTCTAATTGGTAAAACATAAAAAATCGTTAGATTTGACAACTCTGTTGAAACTGGTCGTTCATCTGGCCGCAGCTAAAAACGCAATACATCCGGCCAGCCGACGGCCAGGTCGTTGCGACCTGGTCGTCAGTGAGTTCGAGCCCTTAGACTTCTAAGAATTTCATCATTAATTAATTTTGAATTTTACTATAAAAATAAAATTGAAAATATAGTTTTTTTTGAAAAACTCGAAAATCGTTTTAGCTAAAGAGCTAAAAATTTAGGTGAATTATTTTGAATCGACACCAAATCGATCCCCTGAGTGCGAGTCAAAAAGCCGCGGGGGCAGATTTCCTATTTTAAATTTCATTTAATATCCATGCTAGATATTTGTTCAATTTGACGGAAGGCAACAAAGATTATGCATAAATTCTGTAACTTTCCGCCTACTCATTTTGAAATAATTGCAGTTCCTGCGATTCCTAATTTATTTCGTAATTAAAATTGTTGCCAATTTAACTGGCGCTTCTAATGAATACAATGACGTACTAAAAATAAAGACGAGGACGTTTGGCGTCTCTTTCAACGCAGGGCGTCTAGCAATGAATGGCGGATTAATTGGTTTAGGAAAATAGGACCAGTGATTGGTCTTTTAATTACACACGTCTTCACAATTTTGCTGAGCAAATTAGTCTTGCCTTGTAGAAAAAACGCATGTGTTTATACGTTACTAGCGTGTACTAGCGACTTCGTTCGCGTCGAATTAATCATTTGTAATGGTGATGATAAAGAAAAGCAATAATTTCCATTAACATACAAACTAGATAAAATTTTCTCACATTTATGTCAGCATGAGAAAAAACAATATGGCGATATTATTATATAACTTGGTAATCGCTCTTGGTTTCATCTCGTTGGAATTTGACTTTCGAAAAATCCGTTTGCCAAAAATAAGCTTTTTACGTCAAGCAGTTTAAGCAGAATCGTGGTTAAGAAATTACCCAACTTTTTGGAACACCCTGTATGATTTTTTAAAAAATTTCAAAATATGTAAAGAAAACCAAATAAATGATGCTTGTCCAAGCGTTTTCCCGAAAGACTAACCGTTTTTTAAATAACAAATATTGTGATATTTCAGGGGCGTTTTTACCCTCTTGGAATTTGAGATTCGAGAAACCCCTCCTTATCGAACCCCTACACCCCACAGTCAAGCCGTTTGCCAAAAATCAGCTTTAAACGTCATGCAGTTTAAGCAGAATCGTTATTACTCAATGGTCATATTTTATGAAACACCCTGTATAAAATTATAAAAAATCTTAAAATATGTAAAACAACAAAATAAAATATACGTGTTTAAGAGTTTTTCCGAAAACTCACCGGTTTTAAATAAAAATATTTTTAATATTTGAGGGATAGTTTCACCCTCTTAGAATTCGAGTTTCGAAAAATCCCTTCTTATCGAACCTCTACACCCTAAAGTCAATCGGTTTTCCAAAAATCAGCTTTTTCTGTCAAGCGCTTTAAGCAGGATCGTGATTAATCAATGACCAGATTTTTCGAAACACCCTGTATACATTTTTAAAAAATCTTAAAATATGTAAAAAAACAAAATAAAATATACGTGTTTAAGCGTTTTTTCGGAAACTTGACCGTTTTTTAAATAAAAAATATTGTAATCAACCTGTATGTCAAAATTGAGCTTCTTTCGTTGAGTGGTTTGAGCAGGATCGTGATTAATCAGTATGTCAGTAACTTAAGGATTTTATATAATTAGTATAGATTATCATGAAAGTTAAGTCACTTTTCTTTTCATTTTGCCTATAAATTATCTGCTGATAATATTCAACTGAAATGTATTTAGAGTACCATACAGAGACGAAAAAAAAATCACTATCTATTATATGTATAGCAAAAAATGTTGAGACCGAGACTTGAGTATTTTTTCTTCTTTTTTATTTATAAACCTGGTCAAAAAAATATTATAATTATTTTTAAATATTTATAGTAATTTACATCTATAATATCATCATCATCATCATCAACCACTGCTGTACATCGGCCTTCCTCGTTTGCTTCCATAACTCCCTATCTTGAGCCATTTGCATCCAGTTAAGTCGTCATGCCATCTGGTTGGAGGCTGCTTCTGAATGTCTTGGTCTCCATTCTATTATTTTCTTCGTCCATCGGTCATTGTTTAGCTCTGCAATGTGCCCTGCCCATTTCCATTTTAAAGTAGTTATTTTCTCTATGGCATCCATGACTTTTGTTCTGTCTCGTAATTTGATATTCGGTACTTTGTCTCTCAGAGATAGCCCCAGTATTGATCTTTCCATTGCTCTTTGCGTTATTCTGATTTTGCTTACTGTTTTCTTGGTTAATGTTAGGGTCTCCGCACCATACGTTTGAACAGGTAGTACGCATTGACTGAATACCTCTCTATTCAAACATACCGGAAGTGCCCCTATGAAAATGTATTTCAATCGTCCATAGGCGGCCCAAGTCAGTCCTATTCGTCCTATTCGTATAAGGTACTGAATAAAGATAGAACAGTAAACACGTTGCCAAACGTACGAAATAAACCGAGAAACTGCGCACATTGCTAAGAGACGTAGAGGGGGATATAGCAGGGGCCGTATTTTCGAAACCATTCGACATTTGGCGAATGCGATCTATGTTGAGCGCTAAAAGTCGTACACGCACTAAAAATTGTATTTTTGAACGGCATTCGACATTTTGTTTGCATGCGACCTCAAAATGTATTGGCAACGTCGCCATGTCGATTGTGTATTAGATGACATTTCTAACGAGACGAAGAAGAGCAATATTTGTTGACATTTGAAACCTACTTCCTACTTCTAGACTTCCGTTCGGTCTGTCGTCGGGGCAGCATCGTATGTTGTCTGATGGCTGATTGTTCGGGAGTCCAAGTTATTCTGAAGATACAATTGTAATCGTTTTAAAAAAGTCTATTATTTTTTGGTGCAAAAGTGTTAAATTGAGTTCGTGTCTCATTCAGATACATATTTTTGTGAAATACATTTAAAGAAAATCTTTTTTCACGTTGTCACGGGGGTAACCAGGCCCTATGTAGCCGGATGCTACCAGCGTAGGAGAAGAGAAGGTCAGATTGATAATATTTATAAAGACAACCTTTTTTCACGTTGTCACGGGGGTAACCAGGCCCTATGTAGCCGGACGCTACCAGCGTGGGAGAAGCTTTCGGATTGTTATAAGAATTTTTTTAATTGAAGAATAGAAGAAATAGTCCATTCTGAAGACCAAACACGGAGGGTATGGATTCGTTCCAGATGCCTGAAAGGGCGCTCTCAGTGATGAAATAGAAGAAATGGAGATAGGAAATCTATCCACGGGCCGTATAGTCCAGGCAGCTAAAGGCCGTTAAACTGAAGGGGAAAAAAACCTACTTCTAACCACAAAGTTTTGCTTTTGTTGTGTTTTGGTTTGAATTTTGTTGTATTCGTGTCATTTAAATTTTATAAACAAGAATGTTAACGAATAGAAAGTTCTGTGGCTATATAACAAACGAAGAAAAAAAAAAGAATTAATTCAATTTATGGAGGAGTATCCAGAATTAAAATGTGGAAAATTCACAGAAAAAAAATAAAAAGGTGCAAAACACGATTATTTCCTTCCAACACATCAAGTTCGGCTTCTTCCATGGCGTTCAGAATATTTGTTTGAATTAGGTTATTTAAACGAGCCATTATTTTACTTTAAGGTAAAATTCTGCCGCACAAAATTATATTTATCACAAAAATAAACACATTAACAGTAAACTACAATAAACTAACCAACCGAATATCTTTAAGTTTTGTTTTTGACAATTTTTGTTGACATAACATGTAAAAACGGACAGGATCGCATACGACATTAGAAAGTCGAATGGCTTAGACCCACTCGCGCAAAAGTGTGCGACATTTCTCGCATGCGATCGTTGACGAATGGTTCGAAAATAGAAGCATATTGGTTTTCGTTCTACGTTCGCCTTATGTCGCACACGGCTTGTTGTCGAATGGTTTCGAAAATACGGCCCCAGATTTGTCGCAGTCAACCGGTCGCCGGTCGACCCAATCAGTACCTCTGTCAGTACTTAAAGCTCTAGGGAAAGGTGTATATCATGCGTTCAGCTTCACGATTTAATTACGTATTGTGATACTTTATTTGTTTATTTATTAACGAGTCGTTGTAATTTTCCCTATAGCTTGAAAATTTTTAAGTTCAAGTTAGAAACACTTGCATTTTTGTTAAAAATAAGTGGAATTGAGTTGGTGTTCGACAGTCGCGTTATTAGAACTCAAAATGAATCGATATCTTAAAATCTATTAAAAATAATTGATTGTAGTTTTTTCAAAAACTTTCTTAACATTTCTGCTATATTTTCTTCGCAGACAGTATGTGAAAATCTTTATAAATAAAAAAGTTACACGTTTGCTGAAAATTGCTATGCACTAAAAGTAAATGGATGGGTTGTTTAAAATTTTTGAATGGAAAAAAAAACAACCTAATCGAATTCTTCTTATTTAAACATATTGTAAAACATATGATCTTCAAAATAAAAAAAGTTTCAATATCTAAAGTGGTTCTTAAGTTATGGCGTGTTATATGTTAAAAAGTGTTTTTAAATTATCCCGATTACTGACGTTATATCGTTATAAAAAAATGGACACCCTAACGATATCCTTATAATTCCATTTCATATGCTCACAAACATATCTAATGATTTTATCTAGTTATCTTTTCGAAAAAAAAAATCGTTAAAAAAAAGCAGTTTGCGATCGCCATTTTACTTTACCTGATAGGGAAAGGCGAACCGGCAACGCCGCAACAGCACACCGTCGCATTTCTCTCAGTCCGACTTAATAAGATCCCTATGGGATTTACTTCCACACATGTAAGTACCGACCCAAAAGTAACAGTTGCCAGCACGGTATATTCTACCGCCAATTACTAGATTTGTCATCAATTGGGTTTTTGATATGTTGATTTTTAGTCACATTTGTTCAGAGGTTGCATTCAATCTTTGTAACATTTCTTGGGTTTTATTTACGCAATTGGATATCAAGACAGTCATCAGCAAATCGCATGTTGTTCAAGTTTTCGCCATTTATATTTATACCAAATTCGTTCCATTCTACAGCTATAATATGTAACGCTTTAAGTCGACAGTCGCATAACACCATAAGATTAACATTGGCGATATTGGATTGGATTAAAATCGATGCATAGTAATCTTTAAAAGTAAATATCTCGGAAATATCTTGAAAACCGTTCACCGTTTCGAACTAAACTAATTTTTCGAACTACTTAATATTAATTTATCGGTAGAATCACCTACCAAAGTTAGATACACTATTTTTTGGCACTCTGTATAGAAATTTTTTGAAATTATTTGAAAAATCACCACCTAAGTAAATACCTATTCTCCACATACATCCTTAAGAACTTCTCTGTATAGGTATAAATTTGCTGCGATACATAAACTTTACTACTATCAATATTTTGTTTGTAGTTAGCTGTAAAACAAGAACTCTATATTTTGGCACGATTTCAACTAAAATATCGCAAGAATTTTGGCAGGTTTGTAATTTTTCGGTCCAGAGATTTTTCAGCAAATAATACAACGCTGTTAGTATTTATTTCTCTTGTTAAATGTAGTTTTTTGATTACTTCACGCTTTATTGTTTGTTTAATGATCAATTTAACTAGTACTTTCGTGCGCGGCGTGTTTTGTTGTTAATATAACAATATGGTAATAATCAATTAGATTTGAGTCAGAATTTCTTTAGTAAATACTAAATACGAATATCTGTAGCTAGTATTTTATAATACACTGGTAAACCGATAGAAATGTTGTTATTATAGAGTGTTTTATTATTAGATTGTCTGAATGTGTAGTGTTGTGGGTGTTCTTTATTAAGGTCAGTGTTTTTTGCATTAGTTATGCAATTTAAAATAAAAGCCTAATTTGTTACGTGTTAAATTCCTTTAGTTATAAATTACATGTAATAGTTAATTAATTGCTTTAATAGGTTATTTATTATTTTACCAATTTTCAACTCTCGAAATACCTGTATGAACACTTTTTTTAGTAGAATACCAGACCAATGTAATTTTAACTTTGATATACTTTGATCTCCTATTTTATTGCTTACTTTCAAAGAATGAGTGAACTGTCAATTTTAAGGTAGTCTTACAATTTAGTTTTCGGCTTGTTTTCGGTCTAGACACCTGCATTTACAGGTAGCAAAAATACCGGGGATTAATAAACAAAAGAAGGAAGATACTCGATAGCGTAAAGGTATTATACCGGGTGCGTCTCAAAAGTGGCTCACCCCTATAACTTTTTTATTTTTTCAATTAGAAAAACGAGATTTAGTATGTTAGTATATGACATAAATGAGGATTGATTGAAGTATTCAATTGTTTTCGGTCACTTCCTGTTTCACCGGAAATGACTACAACTTTTGATTTTTAAATGGCACCCTCGAGATTTTTTTATATCTTTTATTTTTTTATATATTATGTCAACTTTTGACATTCTCGCTTAATAAAAAATCGTATTTTAAAATTCAGTCTAGAGTGCCATGGCTATGTTAAAAACACTAATTCTTAATCAAGGAGCCTTGGAAAAATAGATTTGATCGTCTAATGTTTTTAGTGTCTTGTCCTGGCCAGTTAGAAAATGCTCAAATCGTATTTTTAATTATATCTCAATTTTTTCAAATAGAACATAGCATATAGCATATTTGGAAAAAGTATTTTTTTACGAATAATTTGATACCACACACTTGGTATTTTGAGTCAAATTTTCGTTACGAACCGCAAGTTATAATTTCAAATACACTATATGCGAAAATTTCAAAAGTTGACATGTGATATGTCATTCTATTTAGAGTGTTATTTTCTTTCGAATAACGTAAAAAAATACCGAGGGTGCCATTTAAAAATCAAAAGTAGTAGTAATTTCTCGTGAAAACGGAAGTAACCAAAAACAATTCAATACGTCAATCAATTCAAATTTATGTCATATACTAACATACCAAATCTCGTTTTTTATCTGAAGAAATAAAAAAGTTATAGGGGTGAGCCACTTTTGAGACGCACCCGGTATACATGCAGTTCTCGTTTATTTTTAAAAAAGTTCGTAGCTTCAATTCCTGCAGGCTGCAAAATATGAGCTTATCTTTTAATAAAAAAAAGTTTGAATACCGAGATTAACTCAGTCTTAAATAATTACTTGGGATTAACAATGGGACTGTACGTCCACAGCCTTTTTATGACCAGCCTGCCGACTATCATTTGGTACTCTAGCTGCTACCATCTGAAAGAAAATGTACTGTGGCACACTAGGTGACACGGGGATACTCAAAAACAACCCCAGATGATGAGCAGGCTGGTACTGAATAAGTTGTGGTGTACATCTTTCTAGTATATCCATGGTTTTAGCATTGCAAACTGCACCCATGGCTTTTGATTGTTATTTATGGGAGGCTATTATTGTTATTGATATTGCAAGCAAATATAAATGATATTAAAGTGAAATACGTTTAGAGTTTTTTGGGTTTAATTTTCGATTTCTCTTTGAGCAAACTGTCTTCCATTCATTTTGGCCAACGACGAGATAGACATACGTCGAATAAGGTGCAATGCGACAGTCTTGTGCTGTTACTGCACTTCTGCTGTTTCCAATCACACAACTTCTCCCGGACTCATGACTACGGTAATAATATGCTTTTATTTTAATTAATGCTTAATTAACCTATTAGTAAATATAAAAAAAAAGTCATTGTCTTTATTGTAAAAATATCACACGACAAAAAATATCACACGACGTAAAGTGAAATTATGCATGATGAAATCTAGTGAAAGTGTCTGTTGAAGAGTTTCCACACGTATTTCATGTCAATGTTGGGCTGACTAAAGACTTAAATTTATCAGACGTTATGCAGACATCAGCATCACTTGACAGACAAATGATTAGTTATCGAAGTTATTACTATCGTTAACACAGTTTAAGAAGCAGCATTGGTTTAGGGGGAAATTCAAGGATGCACTTGCATAACAATCCAAACTCCTTTAGTCGGTCTAATATTGACTTTAATGACATTAATGGAGTTAACAGTTAACACCATGTTAATTTCATCCATTTAAAAAGTAACTCTAGTGTTGTTAAGTTAATTTTACTTGATAACGACTAGTGTAATTAAGTCCTGGACTTCATAAAAATTGCAACTATCATCTAAATCTATCATCTCCTTAACAATAAAGACAATTTGGTTTTAAGAATATACAGGGTGGTCCGAACTGTATTCCGGAAACTTCGTCAGAATATTCTGCAGATAAAAATAGGTAAAAAAGTTCTTATAAATGTATGTCTTAAAATGCTTAGTTTCGGAGATACAAGGTGTACAAGTTTCATATTTATTTCGATTTTTTCTAAATAATTTATGAAGTAACGTCAATATTTGGATGAAAATTGGTGTCTGGGAGTTTTTTGACATGAGAAATTTATGATTAATTTAAAAAAATTAAAACCCATACAGCACATATACGTATGCACAAAGGTTAAACGTCCGCCTCACAATGTAGCCACAGTATAGCATTTACGTATACACAAAGTAAAGGATACACAGTGTGCCGTAGGATACACAGTGCTTGTGTATTACGTTTAAACTCTGTTTACACATTGCAGTTGTGACTACTGCGTGTATATGTATGTATTTTGCTTCGTATGTACATCTTGTGCTAGATAAAACTACTTCTTATGAACGAATTTAGGAAATAATACAAGTTTTGATGCCTAAATTTTCGTTCTTTTTAAGAAATATTTATTCAATGATACCAATTAAATTTTTTTAGAACGAAAATAGGAAGGCAAAACTTTGTATTTTCCAAAAGTATCTCGATCGTAAGTTCAAGAGTAGTAGCCTTAAAATTGTTCCATTTTTGTTTTGCATTAAATGTACCATTTTTTTTCCATAAAACGGATTAAGTGGTTAAAAATAAAATTCTTATATTTCTTTATATCATGGAACGCATTAGCGCAAATAACACAATAATAATTATTATTTACATTGCAGAAACCAGAAGTAAGAAAGCACTGTAAAAGAACAGAATTTGTATCAAAATGTATTAAAAATATAAGTACCTAGTATAACAACATACTAAAATGGTAAACACTGGTATATCGCCACGATTTGGTGGACCTCGTTTAGTCATTTTGTTCTCTTCTTTTCCCTCCAAGCAGTTAGTTTGTTAGCATACTCATTGTTCGAGATTAACAATCTCAGATTGACAATCTCACCCTTAAATTTTATATGAAACTGATTATTGAATATTAAACATACCTGTATATTGATCTATCAATAACTTACCGAATATCAGTGTAAGAAGTTCTTTGAAGTGAAGAATCTTTCTTTCTCTGGTCCATTTAGATTATTATTTTCAAATTAAAAAAAATTATATTGCAAAGCTAACCTCTTTATCATTATACGAGAATATTTGGAGTTTTCATTCATTGGAGTCAAAATTTGGTAAATTGGGTATCGAGTAAGGGAAGAGTCGCTGCTATAATATTAATAATACTCTTAGGAAGGTGTAACAAAGTAATTAAAAACTTGTGCTTACCTTAAAATCTCTTTTAAACTACACACAAACAGAACATTTATATAAAGCTTTCGAATGATAAAACAATAATGGCTGCTAACACATACCACTTCTAGAAAGGAGAAAGGAGAGAGAACATATAAGATACACTTGGTCGGTGTGTCTACGCTGAGGCTATCCGCGCGTTCGCACACCTTCATTTCAGGCTAGAATGTAGACACAACAGTACACTATTACAAAGTGTCTATATAGAAATTTATATTATGTGTATACGTCACATTTTTACAAGGTGTGTACTATAGGCACAACTATGATACGAAGTATCACACATACATATGACATATACCGTATGATCGAGAAAAAACGGCGTCAGCGATGGCTATGGAATGAAGATCGCTGTCATTTTATATGTAAATTTATATGGGAAATGTCATTGATGTTCATTTCCCAGCCAACTGGACGCCGTTTTTTTTTCGATCATACGGTACATTGTATGTCTCATATACCGACGTCAGATTTCATCATTTTAATAATTATTTGTTACGTTACAAAAAACTCTTTAGAATCTTGAGTGCATACGGTATACAACTAGTAAACACTGTATCACACAATTCTATCAATATAAACCTGCGTGTATCTCATATGTATATGTTAGAACTAGATGAACACTTAGGTTCACTTTAACATATTTTGTTTCTCATGTGTCTCCCTTGTAGAAACGTAATTTCATTTGGACGTGCTGTATGGGAATTTTCCAAATTTATTATTTCAGTCAAATAACTACCTACTCAACGGGTTTATTTTTTGTCAATAATGACATGTATTGACTATTTCCATTTTAAATCTCTTGAGAACGGTTGCTCGTAGCGATTTATACCAAGAGACATTTTTTACCTAGAAAGTCACGAAAATATATATTTTTTCACTCAGTGGTTTTATACAGGTTCGGACAAAAAGTTATTACTCTTCAAAACAGTTAAAATATTTGTAGGTGGCGCCCCCTACAAATAGAAGTCATATTAACATCAAAATCAACTTTTTCATGTCAAAAAACTCCCAGATACCAATTTTCATTCAAATATTGACTTTACTTCAAAAATTATTCGGAAAAAATCGAAATAAAAATGAAACTTCTACACCCTGTATCTCCGAAACCAAGCATTTTAGGACATATATGTTTACGAACTTTTTTACTTATTTTTATCTGCAGAATGTGCAGCCCTGTATATTTTAGATATAATTCACAAACGTCTACCGCTTTTAAACTGACTCATTATTAAATTATTCCAGCAACAGACGACAAATAAATGCGATGGCGGCCATTATAGCTGCTCTCCCCCGAAAGAATGTTGCAAACAAGGCTGCTGCTTCTTGTTGGCCCCCTCCTACAGTCGGCCCCCCTCAATTCAAACCGGGAACATTTGGGCCAACCCACTTTTTCTGGGCCATTGGTAAGATGAATTAATTAGCGATGGGAACTATCGAATGAATTAGACTATCGAATGGTTACTGAATGAATGATTTCAACTATCGAATGGTTTTATTCGAATAAAATCATTCATTCGTTTGTATACTAAAGCTGCTAAAGCATAAGTGACAACCTCGCCGTGCGACTAAATGGTTATCGTTGCACCACGAGCCACGACTATCGAATGTTTTTGATAAATGAAATTTAGTATTCGTTTGATTTATGTGTGCGTCAGTGCATTATTAGTTCTTCCAAATTTTTATAACTTCGCCTTGTAAATACTATGCTATTTTTGCGTTTATTAAAATATTTAAAATACTAAAATAGTATTTTTTTTTTAATTGACGATTGTGTGCGAAGTGGTCAAAATTTTTCCGAAAATTTGTGTGATTTTCCGTAGCCCGATCTTTCAATTATTTAATTTTATATGGTATATTATGGTTAGGTTAGATTGCATTTTTTTAATAGGAAATTTTGAGAAGTAACAATTTTTAAGAGAGATGAGATGAACTTACAATTAATTTTAAAAATACATATTTGTATTTTGGATGAATTAGTTGAATTTAATAATCATATTTAAGTAATGTGGTTAAGTAAATGGTTACTGAACTCAAATTTTGGGGTGAGAAAATTAAATTGCAAGTTTTACACGTGCCAATTTAAAAAAAAGTCAACAATGTTTGTATTTTGTTTATGCTAATTCTCTTACATGTAGTTTTTTGCGAAGAAATATTTCATTTATTTTTTAAAGTAAATGCCAGTAAAAGTAAATATTATTTTTAAATAGTAATATAAAATAATAAAAAGTAATATAAATAATTTTGATTTCTAATTTTTTATTTATATTTTCCTTCCATTACACTGCATGCTTAGAAAATTAATAAATGTTTATATTTCATGATTTTAAAATTTGTTGTTAATATAACAAATTAGTTCTGTAACTATTATTATTTAATAAACCAACGTTGCCATATAGAGACTATATTATTTTTAAATAGGATCTAATATAAATACTTTTGACTTCTATTTGTTGTTTATATTTTTCTACTACTTAAAAAAAATGTTTATATTATTAAATGATTTTAAATTTTGTTGTTAATAGGTATAACAAATTATTACTGTTATTATTATTTATTAAACCAGTCTTTGCTTAAAAACATTAAAAATAATTTTCCTACATCCAAAATAAAAAGTATTATTGCAGTGTAATAACAGAATATTAATAAAAAAATGCAAAACATTAGACATACTATCCCTAACTAACTAATGCTAAAGAATAATATTCTTTGCTAATACCAACTAATACGAATATATGGCAACAGCGCCCTTCATAATGTATTTTCTGTAAAAAAAAAATACTAGCACCTCAATACTAGCACCTCAATAAAAAAAATAATGTGTCCTTATCTTTATTTGACTCCGCAAAAAATCAAAGATGCCGGCTTCTTTCATAGCATTGCCACCGACCGCTGTCGGGTTTCTAGGAAAGAAACCTACGTCGCCGGACGACAACTAAAATCCAGTTTATATTTCATTAAAATCGATCCTGACGAATAAATGAATTTGATAAATGGATGAATTTTATAAATGAATGGTTTTTGCTGCCGAATTACTAGAATACAATATTTCAAGGCAGATGACGCATCTATTCGATAATTTTTATTTGAATAGTTTTCGACGAATGTTTTCTTACTAGCTATCGAATTATTCGAATGAATTGCAACTATCGAATGTTTCGATAGTATTCATTCGATAGTTCCCACTACTAGAATTAATCACAAATAGCTTTGTAAACGAAGTGTCTCAAATATATACCTTACTATCCAATAATAACGGCGTCAAGTTCACTATATAATTTTACACATAAACTTATAGCAATCTTGATTTCCAAACCAACTCTGATACTGTTTTTGTCGATCGTATGGTATTTTGGGGAAACCAATGTTTGCTCTTCAATTGCTCAATATATTTTAGCGATCTTGGGGATGGTATTTTTTGTCTAAAGGCCCGCACATACACTCAGTTTTTTTGCGCAAACCGTCTGTGTAAACCTGATTGGTGCAGGTATATCGGCAGTATACCTGTTTGAATTTAATCTGCGCAAACTTCGAAGCCTGAACGTTTGTTTGCTCGTTCAGTTGATTTTTGTTCAGGCCATAAGCAAAGTTCAGTCTGTTATTAACTTGAAGTTTTTCTATCAATTTATTGAATTATTATAAAGCTTGCCATGTTTATGGAAAAGAAAAAGTAAAGAGTACAGTGACATATGACAGTACATGACAGGATAAAAATAGATGTTCATTGCACAAGAGACCAGAATGCAAGACAGACATATACAGGGTGAGTTTCCTACGATGTTCTCTATGGGTATCTCGGAAACTAGTGGAGATAGAGAGTCGGTTAAATGGGAAAAGAATTGCAGTTTTGTGGGGTCATAAACACGCGCCTCTCAGATTTATGAAAAAGTTCATGGCTTACTAGATATTTCGAAAAAAACAAAATTCGGCTATTTTAAAAATTGTCCCTAATTCCGTTATAAGCTATTCTAGACAAAAAGTTTACAGATAAAAATTGTAGATAATTACATCCTTAAAAAAACATATTATAGCTTATATCGCTAAAAAGCTTAAAAAATGGCGCTTTTTATGAAGTCATGGCCAACTATGGTTTCCATTTAAAAAAACATATGTTTGTGTTATATGTCAAAAATGACAGTAGGGGTGTGTTATATGTCAAAAATGACACAGGCTTTAGAAAAAAACGGAGGACACAATCTCATTAAGGATGTAATTATCTACAACTTTTATCTGAAACCTTTTTGTCTAGAATAGCGTATAACAGAATCAGGGACAATTTTTAAAATAGCCGAAATTTGTTTTTTTCGAAATATCTAGTAAGCCATGAACTTTTTCAAAAATCTGAAAGGCGCACATTTATGACCCCACCAAACTGCAGTTCTTTCCCCATTTAACCGACTCTCTATCTCCAGTAGTTTCCGAGATACCCATAGAGAACATCGTATGAAACTCACCCTGTATATCTCGGAAAGCTATTTTCACTGTAAAAAATGTGCTGAATTAGTAGATGAGTTATAGAGTTAGTTCATTTTCACAAAGTGGCGGCCTATAGTAAAAAACTTAATGTTAAAATCAAGAACAAAGTCCAAACCACTGTGAAAAAAATTGCTCAAACTGGCCTGGATATACAGCCTGTGCTAAAGAACTGAGCGTCTATGGGCGCTTTTAGAGACATCCTTGGTTACTGCTACCAAATAGTAATTTTGTATAAAAATGTGTATGTAATGTTTGCAGGTACTTTTGGTTGGCAGTGACGGCGACTGTAGTGGGAATTTTGTGTGCTTGCTCCCTCTGGCGTAAGCATAATCAAGGAGGCTTGTGTTGTAGAACCGGATCGGGCGAGGATAGAACTTGTTCCGAACCTGATTCCATAGGCTCCTGCTATGCGCCGCCGCAGTATAGTCGATGTAATAGCTTTCATCAGCCACCGCCGCCTTATTCTGAGGTAAAACGCATATACATATAAAATATATACAGATTATCGCCTATCCCTGCAATGTGTTGGAGTTGAAGCCGAGTTAAAGACAACTAGATAACCGGTCCATGTATATTTCACATAAGTTCGTCTGTTAGGCAGACACTGGCGCAACAGCGCAACTCCAAAATTCCGAATATCGATTAGCCCTTACTCTAATAGACCGAGAGTTGGCTACATAAAAAACCTTATCATCGTTACATGGCTAATTTTTTGTGTGAAGTATTCTTTTGTGTAGTCATTGTGAAATAGTCATGTGTGCCAGCGCGATCCCGGGCCAAATAGCTTTTATTTATTATGAGGAAACGTGTAAAATTGATGACAGACATTTTTCTCGTGGCTGAAATGCCGGCAGACAACGCGAAAGAGGCATAGAATTTTGACAAAAGAAAATCATCGCATACATGCATGTCGGTTGGTGGAATGTTAGTTGGTTTATTGTTAATTAATTTAAACAGCCGTATGCAAAAGGGCAGACAAAGAAATCGTTATTGAAATAATAAAAAAATATATTTATAATATAATCGTATATTATATGATTTATCTATACTTAAATGGATGAGGCGACCAGCGTTCCCTGAATAAAGCGCTAGAATAATATTGCGCTTTTGATAACTGTCTGCAGTTGATTGAACCACGATCTTTTTGTCTGCCCTTTTGCATACGGCTTTTAAAATAAATAAATATGGCATTTCACCAATCGGCATGCAAATATGCCATAATTTTTTTCATTCTTCAAATTTCATTTTTTAATAATTTTCAAAAATTTCATGCCTCTTTCGTGTTGTCTGTCGGCATTTTAGCGACTAGAAAAATGTCTGCCAACAATTTTTCACGTTTCTTAATAATAAATAAAAGCTATTTTCGCAATTATAACTCATGTATGTTATAATATTTTTAGTGCCAAAATTTCACCTTTTCGATTGGCCGCCCCCGCTATAAGCCCCGGGATCGCGCTGGCAGACATGACTATACTTCATAATGGCTACATAAAAGGATACTTCACACAAAAAATTAGCCATGTCACGATGATAAGGTTTTTTATGTAGCCAGCTCTTAGATTATAAGGATTGGCCAATTGTCGAACGGGAGTGCAAACGAAAGCCATACGAAATTGGACGAAGCCTTACGAATGAACAGCTGGTGCTAGCGTCTAGTCTCTTATTGGTCTAGTTATTCGATGGATAATTCAAAATCCAGGCTTGCGCACTACGCTTAAGCACAGCTAACTGAGCGACTTATGCAAATTCCTTCAGAAGATTTATATACCCATTTCACCGGCTTGGCTTCACCGAATGCAGTTTGGAGTCAATATGGTTATTTTATAAATATATGGTAAAACGTTTGTAAATGTCTTTTATTTCCATACTGTATCGTAAAATGCAGCTTTACATACTTGATTTCACATTACATTAGACGTTAATTTTGAAGAATAAGTAGTGGAAAAAGTTAAGAGTTTGTTAACTTTTTCTACTAATTTAAAGTTACTGCTAATAATTTTGATGTTCTGAATCCTAAAGCTTCATTCAGAACCTCGCAATTAGTGGAATAAATTAGTGGTTTCAATTACACTTTATACTTTTTAGTTTACGATCATTCACAATGTTTAAAAAAACAATTAAAATTAATAGAATATCCTAGCAACAGATTGGGTTAGTCAGTTGTAGTTGTATCCATAGAAAAAGTGTAATATTTAGCTTATAAAACAATTAACTTTTGATTTCTAACCACAATTTCTCTTGACGGAAGATAATCAAAGGCCAAAATGACATTTGTCGCAAATTTTGAAGGATAATTAGTGGAAAAGTTAAAAGTTTCATAACTTTTTCTATTAATTGAAAATGTCTACTTCTAATTTTAACGTTCTGAATGCTTAAGCTTTATTCAGAACCTCGCAATTAGTGGAATCAATTAGCGTAGAAGTTTGTTCATTTAATTTCAAAGTAAGCATTCCAAACGTCAAAATTAGTGGTAGACATTTTCAATTAGTAGAAAAGTAATCAAACTTTTAACTTTTTCACTAATTATACTTCAAAATTTGCGCTAAATGTCACTCTGGCTTTTGATTCTCTTCCGTCAAGAGAAGTTGTGGTTAGAAATCAAAAGTTGATTCTTTTATAAACTAAATATTAGACTTTCTCTATGGATACAACCACAGGACAAAACTAAATGACGCAAGCTGTTGCTAGTATCACAGATTAGGTATCCTATAAGTATACAGATAAAAATCTTGTCCCTAATTCGTGGTACGAAAATTGTTTTTTATGACGATGTGCAAACGAGTCAAATTTCCTGTGCGCAAAAATAAACTCGCGTAAAATAACAATAAACAGCGTAATAGAGAGATATCGATAAACCGAATAGCGTGCATGGACGTTAATAAGGTCAGGTGTTATTTCCTTTACGTGAGGTGGTATTAACTCTCTTCATTTATAGTTATCGGCGTTATCGGACCGGAAAGAATTCTGATCGCGGCGCGTCCGCTATTTAAACTTAACCTAACTTTGAATTTAAAACTTTGAAATTGTTTTGTTTACTAGGTATTTTAAAACTAAAGGGCTGCTTATTTCCAGTGCTTTATTGTTCAACGTCTGCCTGGGTTTAGGGCAACAAGCAACAAATTCTCTTAGAAGGGCTAAATCGTCATCTGCTGTAAACCTAAGACTCTTTATTATTGGATCTTTAGTATTGGAAGAGGTGGAATCCATATTTTGGGCCATATTTATATAATTAAAACTAATCGCAGCTACTTAAACATCAAATTACCTAATAAAACTAAAGCAATAATTCAAAACAATTCAAACATAATCTAAAATAAAAGATCTCGCCGGCCGGCTCCGGTTGTCAAATACCCGCACATGCCCATTTAAGCAATTTTTAAACGTTATTTAGAAATAGCGCTTGGTGTAATTGATCCGCAAATTACGTCAGGCGGTAACGTTATTAGCGGGTGTTGCGTTAAAATTGACTCGCGCATATCGTAACCATGATAAGGTACGCGTAAATACTGGATGACGCTATTCGGTTTTCCGATATCTCTCTAATAACTGTGCCGGTCAGGCGCTGTGCACAATTTTAGAGGCCATAAGTGGGCGGGCTATGTGCGCAAACTAGTCACCTAACTAGTGCCCGATTCCGAAAATTGGAACCACGAAAAACAATAAAGAAAAAACAAAGATTATAATCTGTATAATCTGTGCGAGTATATTCGATTAATTTTAATTATGTTTTTTAAATATTGTGAATGATCGTAAACTAAAAACTATAAAGTGTAATTGAAACCACTAATTGCGAGGTCGTGAATGAAGCTTTACATTGAAATTATAGGAGAACAAACTTCTACTCTAATTGAAACACCTTATTTATTCTACTAATTTTGAGGTTCTGAATGAAGCTTTATAACGTAAACATCTATTAATTTTTGAATCCTTTTAAACTTTTTGCACATCCCTGTATATTGATATATTTTTTAGTCTGATCGGTTTATGAAAGTCTGTAAACTTCTATAAAACTACTTTATTAAATATATTGACATTTTTTTTAGTTCGATCGGTAGGTACATAAAAGAAGGATAAAAGTCTGCAAACTTCCATTAAACTTGTTTTCTCCGGAGATCGTATTGCGGTCTTTTGCAATAAAAATGTTAAATTTAAATTAAACGTTTAAATTAAATTTGCTATTAGGTAATAAAACTTGGAATTATTATTTGTGGATACTATGTAGTGTCCAAGTTTATTCTTTATTTCAGAGTTTTCTGCACTTTTGTTGAATTTCAATTTATTCACTCATTTTATTCCACTGATATTAAAAAATAATTAGTGTTAACTGTACTTATGTACATTAATGATGAAAGTTTAACACTAAATGATAAAGGGTTCATTAAGTTTAAGTTTTAGGTATGCGTTGTTCAATTTGTGATCTATTATTGTTATCTTAAAAGAAGATAAATATAAAACCATCATATTAGAAAATGTATTATTGCAGGTTACCTCAAAACCCGATATGTATCCTTTGGTGATTAGTTATAACAATACAGAACCGATAATCAAAAATAATAATACATCTACCAGATATCTTATGGTGCAGTACTTTAGAAATTTTATTGGCAGACCAGTAGGTAAGTTTCTATATTTTATAAGAAGCACGTATGAAAAATCGATTCTTTGTGTATATCCACCCAACTTAAAAATTTAAATCACGATTAAACCTTAATAGTGTTTGTTTATTTATAATTTATGTGTAAGAAATTTAGTATAGTAAACGCCACGAATGTTTGGGAGTGATTCATCGGTTGATGAAGTTAGAATCGACACGCGTGCTATCATTTTTACATTAAAAACGAAAATTTTTACCGCAGACGTAGGTTTTTAAAGGCCCGGTCTAATCATCTGCCTGCGCTCCTCCTACTTATTCTAAAATGTTAGCGTGAATGACAAAGACGATACTATATCGCGTTTCTTTGATTGATTCGTTTTTGTGCGTCAGTCCATTGGTGTGCTTGCAGTGCGATCAATGGGGCATTCTAGTTTATATTTATAACCAAATATATGTTTTGACAAGACTTTGACAGTTAAAACAACAAATTACAACAGGTTATATATTGATTATTATATGACTTGAAACACCACGGCACTGGAATTAAGTTTTATGTGACCTTGAACAGATTAGTTCACATGGTAGCGACCGATGAATCACTCCCAAACATTCGTGGCGTTTACTATCTATGATTGACTGAGTTGAATATACAGATTCAAAATCATCACATCTATTTAACATGAGTTGTAAAAAATTTTAATATTCTTTTATTATTATTTTTTTTAGGGTCTCTTTCCGCAACTAGCACAAACGATTCCATAAGCTCTAGTTTTTTATGTAATGCTGTTAACGAAGTAAGTATACTCATACTCTATTCTAAAATAACACTTTGTACAGGGTGAGTTTTCTACGATGTCCTCTATGGGTATCTCGGAAACTACTGGAGAGAGAGAGAGTTGCTTAAATGGAGAAAGAATTGCAGTTTTGTGGGCCTTTCAGATTTTTTAAAAAGTTCATGGCTTACTAGATATTTCGAAAAAAACAAATTTCGGCTATTTTAAAAATTGTCCCTAATTCCATTATAATTTATTTTAGGCAAAAAGTTTTCAGATAAAAGTTGTAGATAATCACATTCTTAATGGGATTGTGTTCTCCGTTTTTTTCTAAAGCCTATCATTTTTGACATATGACACAAATATAGTTTTTTTTAAATGGAAACCATAGTTGGCCATGACTTCATAAAAAGCGCAATTTCTAAGCTTTTCAGCGATATAAGCTATATGTTTTTTTTTTCGAAAAATTACGAGGTATAGCCAAATAATATATTTCTTGACTAATTTCACTTAGTTGGTATGGTATTCTTATTCTGTTATGATTTATAACTTATAAAAAGACAGAATATTTTATTAAACGGTTCTTTATAATTTCCATTACACAAACTAAAACTTAAAAAAATAATGTCACTACATACACTTTAAGTTATTTTATAAAATGTGCAAAAAATCCGCCATTGTTTTGAGTACGTAAATGTATCTTTTTAAAACTGAATTATCTATCCATTAGCTTTTCTCACAGAACGACGGGTCGACTTTATTAAACTTCTCCCGTACTGCCTCTTAGAGTGCCTCTCTTAATTCATAAGATCTTTTGTAATCTTTGTTGTTAACCATACCGCATAAAAAATCTAAAATGGATAGGTCAGGTGATCGAGGAGGCCCATGCATTTAGTCCACCTCTTCCTATACCCGAGTTTGATATAATTATGATATAAATAATTTTTAACATTTCTTCTATTATGGGGGTAATGTCATAATAAAAGTCACTTTATTGATGCGCGAGTCTCTAAATTTAACTTTTCTAATATGTCTTGAAAACCGTTGAAAAGCGTTCATCAGTCAACATATCCTCGAAAATGTATGGCCCAGAAAAGTTGAACCAATAATCCTACACGCTTTTCTTTGTCTAAAAATGACACAAATTGGCTATAACTTCAAAAAAAACATATTATAGCTTATATTGCTGGAAAGCTTAAAAAGCGGGGCTTTTTATGAAGTCATGGCCAACTATGGTTTCCATTTAAAAAAAACTATATTTGTGTCATATGTCAAAAATGACAGGCTTTAGAAAAAAACGGGGAACACAATTTCATTAAGGATGTGATTATCTGCAACTTTTATCTGAAAACTTTTTGTGTAAAATAGATTATAATGGAATTAGGGACAATTTTTAAAATAGCCGAAATTTGTTTATTTTTCGAAATATCTAGTAAGCCATGAACTTTTTCAAAAATCTGAAAGACGCATATTTATGACCCCACAAAACTACAATTCTTTCCCTATTTAACCGACTCTCTATCTCCAGTAATTTCCGAGGTACCCATAGAGAACATGGTTGAAAACTCACCCTGTATAAACTAAAACTACATAATAATTTATCTTAGAAACATATTTAATTCTAGTGCATTCTGATAAGAGATTGATTCTTGTTAAATGTTTGAAAACTACTTAACATCATCAAAATCAAGTTATTTCCTAATATATATTTTGTATTTTATCAGGTAAATACTATTGTTCCTCCTACTTACTCAAACGTAGCCAGTTTAGAAGAACTGGTCAGTGATCAGTCTCAGCCTAGTCCATGTAATTTGGAGAGACTCCCTCGAAGTTCATCATCGATTTCTGAAACAACCAACTACAATCGGGTAAAATTTCATTTATTATTTCCTTTAGACACCATACCATACGATACTTATATTTTAGGAGTTCCAACAAACTTTCAATCTTCCTTCAAACACCGTCATTCGACCTCCACAAGCACCAACTCCTGTCCACCAGCCGCTCGCCCAAGCAGATTCTCAACGAAATACAAGTCTGTACAGCGATAACCATACGTCGAACGAGAACCGTAATGGCAACACCGAAGAAGGACTCAAAGAGATCTGTCAGAGAAACGTAGCTTTGGCTAAAGCGGATGATAGAGGAACTTGTAGGCCAAGGAAACCACTGTTGCAGCCTAGTCAAGACTCGACTGAAGACGAAGAACCGTTTTCGGCTTTGCTGAATTTATCTTTATGTGCCACGAATATTCCAGAACACGTACACCCGCACGTTGCACCGTTGATGCAGGATTTACAATTCGGCGTCACCAATAGTATGACGGGATCGGATATTAGCAGTTTGGCTAATTTAGGTATGTTGAAAATATTTCTGCTATTGTTACTGAGTAATATTACAGTTGAGGGTTGGAACGTATGGTGTTACACAGCAAAATAAAAACACTAAATTCATTTTACACTTCAGTGTAAAAGTAAAAGTGTTTTGGTGTATTGTGGTGATTTAGTGTTTTATTTTGCTACTGAGTAATATGAAATTATTTTAGTTGACGATTTTTTACAGTGTCACGTTGAGATACACTCACTAGAACGAAAAACGGGCATCTTAAAATATTCATGTATTTTAAAGTTTTATATACCGGGTGCGTCTCAAAAGTGGCTCACTCCTATAACATTTTTTATTTTTTCAGATCAAAAAAACGAGATATAGTATGTTAGCATGGTACAAAGAAAACACGGTATCATATTGCGCAGGTTGGTCGCTACGTCTCAGGTGATAACAGGCGTTATTGGTCAGCACGCTCCGCGCGCCAATTCAAATCGTCAAGATATTGTAATGAACCTGTTTTTTTGTTTATATACCCTGTATATATACCGTCATTGAACTATCGCTAAGCAAGTTACTGTGGAGCAGTGCGTAAAGAGTTGGGCTAGGAAGCAAGAGACTGGAGTTCGAATCTCGGCCGGGGCATAACTTTATTATTTAATTTTTTAAATACTGTTGAATTCTATAGTTTATTTTTGTAGTATAAAAAAGAACTATTTATTCTGTTATTTTTTAATCTCCGGTATTAGTATAAATTGATTGTTGGTACAATACTTCATTTAATATAAAATAATATTCTTTTTGAAATGTATTGAGCCCTAATTGTACCTAAAGTAATATATTTTTACAGTGATATACCATATTGTAAACTATTTAATATTTCAGTCACTTAAAAAGTTAATTTGTATTGAATAATTGCCTACCATTAAAGGAAATTTGAGCTATAATCCTTGATGGGCATATTCTGTGTATGCAAATACTTCCTCTAAATTTTGGGTTTTATTCAACCGATTTATTTTCAAAACTTGAAACATCTACATATACATAAAAAGAAACACAGGTCACTAATTAAGTATAATAAACTTCACCCTTGGAATTACTTCTATTACAATTATAATACATTCATCTGCATTGGCATTTTCTACTTTTCGATGGAAAACAATCAGCTTCCCAACATTTTTTAAATAATGTAACAATTCCTCTTATGGTTACTTTTCCATAGATATCCTCATCTTAATTCAGAGACGATGAACATGAAAATTATTTATCATAAACATCGCAAACTAAAAACCTAATAAACAATTTTATACCGAATATAGAAATAAATTTAGTATTCTTACCTGTTATCGTCCAAATCCATGTTAATAGATAATTAATATTTTGGATTCTTGTCTTTTATTTTCAAATATATTTTTGGAACTACTGGTTTTAGTAATTATTAAACTAAACGAACTAAAAAGTCAGAAAATTTTTTTTGGAAAAATAAACTATTCTTAACCATAACCTTAAAAAATGCAAATCTCCTGTCAACTTTCTTTATTTTTATTTTACTAGTGACGTCACAGGTGGTATGCGCGAACTGAACGAAATTGGAGCCGCTATCGATCATACCTTGTTTTCTTTGTACCATGGTATGTTTGTATATGATATAAATTAGGACTGATTGTCGTATTCAATTGTTTTTGGTGACTTTCTGTTTCACCGGAAATGACTACAACTTTTGATTTTTAAATGGCACCCTCGGTATTTTTTTACTTAATTCGATAGAAAATGAATAGAATGACATATTATGTGTCAACTTTTGACATGCGATTCATAATGACAATTTGACTCGAAATACCAAGTGTCTGGTACCAAATTATTCGTAAAAAATGCTTCTTCCAAATATGCTAATGAGTCACTCTCGTTCCATTTGAAAAAATTGAGATATGATTAAAAATACAATTTGGGCCTCTTGTAACCGGCCAGGACAAGACACGAGAAACATTAGACGATCAAATATATTTTTTCCAGACTTCTTGATAAAAAATTAGTGTTCCTAACGCAGCCATGGCACTCTAGATTGAAATTTAAATACTGTTTTTTTAAAGCGAAAATGTTAAAAGTTGACATATGATATGTCATTCTATTCAGAGTGACATTTTCTATAGAATAAAGTAAAAAAATACCAAGGGTGTTGTTAAAAATCAAAAGTTGTAGTCATTTCCGTTGAAACAGGAAGTTACCGAAAGGAGTTGAATACGGCAATCAATCCTAATTTATGTTAAATTCTGACATACCAAATTTCGTTTCTTTATCTGAAAAAAATAAAAAAGTTATAGGGGTGAGCCACTTTTGAGACGCACCCGGTATTGTGTTCTAGTTGACTGATTTTGATGATTTTTTAAGCAATTTGTAGCTAAATATTTGACTTACAATTTTAATTAAAAATTAAATTAAAAATTAAAGTTTTCTTTGTCTATCCTCAAGTGTTACTGAAGTATTTAAAAGTTCTGCATTGTCGACTGGGTGTTACACTTAGTATTGGAAATATAAATTATCAAATACTTAATGTAAAGAACACCTAATAATAATAATTAAAAATCTTCACATTTGAATTTTACTAAATAATCCTAAATATAACTCGATTTTTATTAACTTTTTTTGTAAACATTTTTGCAAATTATATTTATTTATGATGAGACGATATTAGAATAAGCTTAATTGACATCAAAATTTAAACTAATTGATACAATTATAGGCACTCCTGATTCACCTCCAAGGGCTACGTCACCAACTGTAGAAATGCGAGAACTTCTAGATAAAATTCAACAATTACCGGCTCAAAAAAGTCCACAACCTCCGGCTCCATCAGCTACGGCTCAAGCTAGAGCGTACTTCCATAGAGTTAGAGCGAAAACATTGTACATGCCACTGGGTGAGGCACATGTTAGTTCGTCAAAACAACATAATAAAACCATGCCAAACGGTAAGAATACTTCAGTTTTTCTATGTATAACTAACAATAGTAGATTTTTTGCAAACCACAATGAGCAAATGATGAAAACTAGTTCTGTTTTAATCATCTGGTAATGATGCTAACATGGATAGCGAAACATGTGTCCAGTGTTAATTTTTTTTATAACGAGAAAACGTCAGTAATCGCGTAAACTTAACTTTTTAACACATAACAGGCCATAACTCAAGAACCACTTTAGATATTGAAACTTTTTTTTATTTTCAAGATCGGATATTTTACAATATGTTTACATAAGAAAAATTCGATAAGCTTGTTTTTTCTATTCAAAAATTGTAAACAATCCATCCATTTACTTTTAGAGCATAGCAATTTTCAGCAATCGTGTAATTTTTTTTATTGATTAAGATTTTCACATACTGTCTACAAAGAAAATACAGCAGAAATATTAACAAAGTTCTTGAAAAACTACAATCTATTATTTCTAATAGATTTCGAGATATCGATTTTTGAATTCAGTTTTTTGAGTTCTAATAGCGCGATCACTATCGAACACCCACTCAATTCCGCTTATTTTTACCAAAAATGCAAGTGTTTCTACCTTGCACTTAAAAAAATTTAAGCTATATGGAAAATTACAACGATTCGTTAATAAATGAACAAATTAAGTATCACGAGACGTAATTAAATCGTGAAGCTGAACGCATGACGTACACCTCTTCCTAGAACTTTAAGTACTGATAGAAGTATTGATTGGGTCGACCGGTCAACTGCGACAAATCTGCTATATCCCCTTCTACGTCTCTTAGCGATGTGCACAGTTTCTCGGTTTATTTCATACGTTTGGCAACGTGTTTACTGTACTCTCTTTGTTCAGTACATTATAAACGCATTGTACTCTTCTTACATACGGAAATCTCGACCCAAGACTAACCTTTGCCAGCCCTTAGTATACCTAAATAGAATTGCCGAGTACAGCGTTTTTCACAGTTAACATGAACTTGAGTTTAAGTTATGTTTGTACAATCGGTCCTTATATATTTTTTATAAACTAGTTAAAGCCTGGCGCATCCGCCACGACATCAGGAAAAAAAAATACTTATTTATTTCTTAATTGAATGAAAAACAAAAAATCCGGTGACGACAGTTTTTAGAAGAGCCAATTAGCTTTTAGTAAAAAAATCAACTTTCTAGAGCAAGTCGTTACTTCAGTAGAGACGACACAGATAAACATTAACATTTTATATATGTAGATAATACTCTTTATAAATAATAGATACTTTTTAGAGTTCTTTGGCACCCACCTTACCTATGGTTTGGTTTGGTTGGTATTATTTCTTTTAAAATCGACCATTTTTAGATTTTACGTTTTGAATTTTTACTATGTCATCGGAAATATTTTGTAAAGATGACACCTCTACTAATTCCAACTTTATGATTGTTTCATAATAACAATTTTTCAGTGTTTTCGAGAAGTTGGTTGTCGCGGTCAGCTCCGTGTACTCCATGCGGTCCACTGGCTCCCACCTTTCCGGTGAGCCGAGGAAGTCAAAAAGGCAGCAAAAGCAAAGTTACGGATGGAAGTCCTCTTTTAAAGCAGCACGCCGAAGAATCGGAAGAAGAGCCCCACCGAAACGAACCGTTATGATGAATAAAATATTCATTTGTGCCGAACAGAATTTAATAGGTTAGGAAGATAGAGACAAGATTTATATGCGATAGATACATTCCATTTTGGATAACTATAAAATCATTTATTTCGGTTGATTTATTGTCGTACCACTTCTATTTTTAATAAAGTACAGTAATTCATTGTTATTCAAAAAATCACGAAATTTTTTCTAACAAAGGATTACTGCATAAAAATGTCTTAATTTGATTCAATTTTTGAAGAAGCCACTCATAATCCAAAACGTTTTATAATTAATATTGTGCGGCATTTATAAATTTTAATTACGCGGTATTTAGGGTAACAAATTTGTAGAAAATGTTGGAAAGTAGTGCGAATCGAAATTACTAGTTTGATAGTTGGGGCAAACTCCCCATTCAGAAATATTTTAGGCAAGTCCAAGTCAATTTTTTGCGAATCTATACTAAATTTTGGAACTGATCTGGTCAAGATCTACTCAATTTATTGTTTATTGTGTGCCTAAAACCTCCGAAATTGACGTATCTGAAATACTGCTAATATTTTGATAAACAACAGTATTTTACATTATGTCCGGTAGGTGCTTTATTATAGTAGTACGACTTTAAGTAACAATGTACGGACTGTATGAAATATAACGTTGAATATCTACAGATTTGGATAGAAACTTGTTAAGTCCAATTATATTAATAAAGGGACATACATAAGTGTCAGTGGAATAATAGAAAATATACCATCCCAACCATGTATGTACAACTTTGAGTAAAAAGATTAAAGAAGGAGTATTCATTTTATCCCAAGTAATCTTCAACATAATTTGGCTTTGGAATAAAATGTATAAGCACTTGTAAATATTTTGTTTTCGTATGATCTCTGCCTTGCTGAGCAGAAAACGACCAAATTTGGTTGATAAAAATGTATCGAAATACAAAGAATATTCATGCATTTTTATATCAATTTTTTGGCTTATTTCTAACCAAACGCTTTTGTCCCGCTAAATTTATCTTCCAACGCACTATGCGCTCGTCCGTCAAATGCAAAAATAACTGTCACTGTCTAAAATCTTTAGCGCCAACTTCAACTCGGTCCTCAGATGACGTAAAAAAACTGACAGTGCAGGAAGATAGGAATCGAACTATCCTTCTCTCTATAGTATCCTTGGGTGAAAACCGCACATCGCTATCGGTAACCGTTTCGGAGTTACGGGGTGTTTTTTAAAAATGTGCATTTTAACAAATTGCTGTAACTTTTTTGCTACGGAAAATTTTGTATTTTTATGAAAATATTACGTAAAATTTAATGGTTTAAATATATATTTTTTTAAATTAATAATTTAAGAGCTATAAACAGAAAAATTGTTTTTTTTTATTTTGGACACCCTGTATATTTTTAATTTCCTGAAAATAATTTAAAAAAACCTTTTTAAAAATATAGCACAGTTGATATTTTGTTATAGTCCCATTCGAAATACATAATTTTTAAAAGTTCGTCTTTTGTAACTAGTAGGCTTTGGACCCTTATTGATGATTGCCCCTAATATGGAACTCGAAAACATATTTTTGCAGCAAGAAGAGGTACCGCCTCAAAACGCTGAAGTTATCTGCAAATTTTTACAACCAATTTCGAGAATAATTGGATAGCTAATCAAGATCCCAACCGTTGGCCGTCGAGGCCGCCGGATTTAGCGCCTCTGGATTTTTATCTTTACCGAAGAGTAAATGTTTTTTTTTAGATTGTCCGTAAGATACCCCCACTGAGTTAACGAATTCCGCGAAAAATGTTCAAAAACGGTCCCGTCTCCCTATAACAGAAGACGGTCGACATGTCCAACACCTGTAGCAAAATCTCATGTTTTGGGTTGCTATTTATTTTAGTTATTAGGTATACATAGTTTAAATGTGTTGATGTTGTTAAATATAGTTTGAATTGTTAGAAAATTCTGCATTTTTCATTGCAAATATTATTTTCGTTTTAATTGCTGCCCACAGCTAGAATTTTTTTGCATTACAGCTGGCGTCGTTCAAAGCCTACTTATTTAAAGTGAGCGAATTTTTAAAAACTCTATATCTCGAAGAGGAATCGAGCAAAATATCAAGTATGTATGCCATATTTTTTGAACGCCGAATTTCGATATGCCTCTTCCTTATTTTTTTATTCAAAGATGTACGACATCCAGTATGGCATATTATCTTCAGGATCTTAATAAATTAATATATTTAAAAAAGTTTTAAAATTATTAGGATGTTTGTCCTTTTTCGAAGTAAATTACTATATTATAAAAATATTTTTTAGACCTATTATAGATGTACAATTATTCGAAATTGATTTAAGGCGCTAGATTAACAACGTTTTGTATTAATTTTTTACTCGACCTTGATATATGTAATAGAACCTAGTAATAAAATGGCGATATTGATGAACTTCTGCGAACTATTTAACAATTTTAAATTGTCTTATGAATCAACTTAACATCATTAAATAGGTAAGATAAATACAACTCGGCTAAAGCTTAGATAAGTTTTTTTAGTAAAAATCCACGTATTAAAAATTCCAAAATGTTCGAATTATTATTAATGTATTTATAGAGGGTTGTTCACCACATACGACACGGAGTATTGTGGCTAAACGATGACATTTTTACAAATTGTAAGTTTGGGGTTCGTTGAAGGACTATTAGAGCTACAATTTAAAAATATTTTTACAAGATACAGAGTGTCCCAAATAAATAAAAAATATCAAAGTTGTATTTTTTTAAATGGAACACCCTGTATATTATTACATTTTTAGTTTCTACGATTAAAATAAAGGTAAATTTGATTAAGGTTTATTATACTTAAACATTACGTTTTTGAAATATTTTCAATTTTTGAAATTGAAGTAAAAATTTTAAAGCTTCATTTCTCCAAGGGTATCAATGTTTTTAATACTAAATATTTAATGAAGTTTATTTATTGATCATTTATTGCGTTGCAATAATAAAAATAATACTATCTTATACAGAGTGTCTAAAAATTTATTTTAAATAATTATTAGATTCAAACGGCAATAACTCCTTTAATTTAAATAGAACGCCCTGTATATTTTAGGAGAATCAGATGCACAATTAAATTGTCTATCAAATTGTATTATACCATTTTTTACCTATCCCTTCAAGTTTTCGTAGAAAATGCATTTTCTTATAATTTAGACCTCATTTATCAATATATCCATGGAATATTGACATTTTAGATTGATTTTAAAGCAACAAATGTACAAAATGTACAGGCTGTACTGTGTAAAATGTACTATTATCGTTTTTAGCAAAACGATAATATTACTAGCCCATTTGTATGCAAAAAGAAAACTATTCAAATCTTTATAAAAGGTACCGTAAAATGGGGTGAATAGAAACAGTTTAGTAGGCTATTAGCGATATACCGGTTGATAAAAATGTGGTATTATTTTCCCGAATATTTTAAAACATGGGTCTTTGTTTGTTCTTTGCGTATACATATAATTTAATATAAGCGTATACATATAAATAATATAATATAATTAAATATTAAATAAAAATAACATTTGTGTTTCTATTCACCTTCTATTCGGGAGAATAGAAACACACATTGATGTTAAGGTTTTTATCTATTCTATTTCCAACAAGGTGGTTAGAAACAGTAAATTATTACATATTTAAGTAGGTTTAACAATAATTAACAATACATATAATATAACAACTTACATGTACCAGCTTATGTATTACTTTAAAAATAAATATTTTATTTATAAAGTTTTCGCGCCATACAAAATAGGTGATAAATTGATCTCACATTTATTGATCAGCTGATTGACAGAAACAGTGCTGCCACAGATAAAAATATAGTTTTTACATTTTATTGTGTATTACCAATTATAGAAAAATTAGATATGTCGACTCTTTTTACTTTGAATATTTTTAATCGTGATTTGATTTTTTTCAGAAATTTTGTTTCTATTCACCACTATGTTTCTATTCCCCCATTTTACGGTATACCATTAATTAAATATAACACCATTATTTCCGCCCATATACTAATTAATTACATACTTAATTGTGTTCGTTAATAAATTATTATAAATAAATGTGGATTTGAGTCAGAAATCAATTTAATAATAAGTTATCAAATTAAAGTCTCTGTTGTTATAAATAAGCATTTATTAAAAATGAAATATCATTTTTAAGGTGTTAGTTTTTATCACACTGTCTAATGCCCATACAAAATTCAGTTTTTTAGTATTTGGAGCAATTATTATTAATCAACGCAAACAGTCAGTTAATGTGGTTTGAATACTGGAATCATATTAATTGGTCCTCTTTAACAAATATTTAAACAGTTTTTTTATTTTTTAAAGAAATAAACGAATTATATCGACAATATTAGTATCTGTACTCTTTAAAAATTTGGTACATCTTTAAAAATAATCTAAAATGTCAATAGTCCATGGGTATATTGATAAATAAGTTCTAAATTACAAGAAAATGCATTTTCTACGGAAACTTAAAGAGATAGGTAAAAAATGGTATAATATTATTTGATAGACAATTAAATTGTGCATCTGATTCTCGTAAAATATACAGGGCGTTCCATTTAAATTAAACAAGTTATTGCCATTTGAAGCTAATAATTATTTAAAATAAATTTTTAGACACTCTGTATAAGGTAGTATTATTTTTATTATTGCAACACAATAACTGATCAATAAATAAACTTCAGTAATTATTTAGCATTAAAAACTTTGATACCCTTGGAGAAATGAAGCCTTAAAATTTTTACTGCAATTTCACAAAATTGAAAATATTTCAAAAACGGTAAGGTTTATGTATAATAAACCTTAATCAAATTTACCTTTATTTTAATCGTAGAAACTAAAAATGTAATAATATACAAGGTGTTCCGTTTAAAAAAATACAACTTTGATATTTTTTACTTATTTGGGACACTCTGTATCTTGTAAAAATATTTTTAAATTGTAGCTCAGCTCTAATAGTCCTTCAACGAACCCCAAACTTACAATTTGTAAAAATCTAATCGTTTAGCTACAATACTCCTTGTCAACAACCCTGTATATAAAAATAAGAATTTTTAAATTATTAAGCGGATAGAGGCGCCAATTTAAGAATATATTATTTATTTGGTATATGTAAGTACTTAATGTATGATCAAGAATAAATATAATTGAATAGGAAAAAAATGATTGACAGCTTTGTTCTGTTTTAATTTAATATGTTCTAAAAGGGGAATACTATAGAATCCTGAATTTAGACCTAAGTTAATGAATTTATGACCTGTTTAATTATATTTACTAAGGATTATATCTGATATAAATGTATTTGGAAATCTTTATGTAATTGTTACCTTCTAATGTCCCGTTTTGTGTAGTAATACTCGTCTGAGATGAGTAATTTTTTCTCATAGACGTACTAGTATTTTCAAATCATGTAATGCTTTTTTATTTAAAAATTTTTGATACTTAATTGATAATAGATAAGTGTTTTAATTTGACAGGGGAGAGTTTTGTTATTTTGAAATATTGATCATTTTTTTAACCATCAAAACCTTCTAAATTTTGAGGTTTTAAGCTGGATTAAACTCGGGAGCTGAGGTTCAGCCACCGTTCAAAATGTTCAACGCTATGAAATGAACGCGCGCATTTATAAAGTCAGTTGGTTGAAAAGTTGGCAGTTCGTTTTATGTTCAGCGGAGTTCAAAGATGGTCAATGTTTATGTCGGCAGTTGACGACCGTTGGCGACGTTCGCCGACAGATAACGAATAAGCGCCTGTCGATCACGTGAAGCACAGTACGCCGATGCATTGAAAAATTACCCTTATTGTTGTTTCATTATTTCTGTTAATGTAATGTTGATATTTTGCGTAATCTTGGATTACTGTGTTTGAACTTTGACAAATATCAAAAGTATTTTTAAATCGAAAGAAAAACGTTCGAAATTTTCACAATTCCAAACCTAACCTACAACCGAAATTGACAGTTTATAAATGCAAAAATATTGAACCTCAACTACCGCGAATATCCAACTGCAACTGAACCTCAACTCCCGAGTTTATAAATCCAGCTTTAATGTTCCAAATTCCATGTTATATCTGCAAAGAATTAAATTTGGTTTTGAAACTCTTCTTCAGCATTTCAGTTATGGCAGAAAACTGAAATTTACTTAATTTTCTATTCTTGATCAACACAGAATAATAATAGGGGAAACAGGGTAAAAACATATATACTGATGTTAGTATTAATGTTTATTAGTTCTTTTTTGATTTTAATACAAATTTATTAGTTTTTTATATTATTTATTACAGTTTAAATTTTATATCCAAGACATTTATAAAAGATTGTAGCATTTTAAATGTATTTTTCTAAAAATTGTACCTGAACTGCATTTTATTTGTTTTATTGATCTGTATAGATAATAGAATATGAATTGTAAGTAAATTGCTATTCTTTTGGAGTTCAATGTAGTACCATAATTTTTTTTATTGCTGTAAGAAGTCTTTCAAAAACAGATTATGTACAAATATACAGTTGCAGATTGTTTTAATTTTATGGTATAGAAGATAATAAATCAAACTTTTTAAAACTATCCCTTGTCAAAATGAAACTTGGCGTATAACAGTTTTATGCCCACTTGCACCGTTTGTATAAACTTTGTTTAAAAGCTAAACAGTGATTAACTATAATAAAATATGTATAGTTAATCACTGTTTAGCCTTTAAACAAAGTTTATACAAACGGTGCAAGTGAGCATTAATCGTTATTATATACAGGGTGAGTCTTAAATATGTTCACATAATTTTCGGGGTGGTATATTTAGATCCCAATAACACGTCTATGGCATTTTTTTGCGATTTTTGATAACATGACATATGACAATGTAGATAATACAGATTAAAATTAGAGAAACGGAAACAGGGAAAACCTATACACATATTATTTAAGGCTCACCCTGTAATTTTTAAAACTGTTTTAGGTATTTAATTAATCTCGAAAATATTTTTAAGTAGAGTAAATAACAATATATTGAATTGTTACAAATATTAGTTGTTGTTGTCGAATGTGAACGATAGTACTGCTATTTTTTGAAACTACTTGTAAATAACAGCTAGAATTTTGCCTATTATGAAATTTACCAGACCAAATAATAAGTATAAACTAATCAAAAACGATCAAACTTTTTTGAAACTTCTTTCTGTTTATACACGATATAACTTATGCACTTTACGACTATCTTTTTAAACTTTTTATTTTTTCGTATGTTTGTCAGAATGGCCTAATATGTTGCAGGAAGTATATTTAAATGTTTTGTTTTATTTATTTAATAATAAACTATCTTTTAATAATTTATGTGTTTCTTTTATACTAAGGGCTGGCAAATGTTAGTCTTGGGTCGAGATTTCCGTATGTAAGAAGAGTACAATGTGTTTTATAATGTACCGAACAAAGAGAGAACAGTAAACACGTTGCCAAACGCATGAAATAAACCGAAAAACTGTGCACATATTAGCGTTGTTCGGGTTCTTGTTATTACCGATTCTGAACCGTCCTAGAACTGCAGCGCACACATGCGCAAATGAAATAATGTCTTCATATTTCCTTCTGCGCATACGCATCACAGTTCTAGGACGGTTAAGAATCGGTAATAAGAGAAACCCGAAGTAAGCTATTGCTAAAGAGACGTGGAAGGGGATATAGCAGATATTTCGCAGTCGAGCGGCCGACCCAATCAGTACCTCTGTCAGTACTTACTCTGTTGTAAGTTGTAAGTAAGCTTCACGATTTAATTACGTCTCGTGATATTTTATTTGTTTATCTATTAACGAGTCGTTATAAGTTTCCCTATATCTTGAAAATTTTTAAGTGCAATTTAGAAACACTTGCATTTTTGGTAATAATAAGTGGAATTGATTTGGTGTTCGACAGTGGTCGCGTTATTAGAACTCTGAATTCAAAAATCGATATCTCGAAATCTATTAGAAATAAATTGATTGTAGTTTTTTCAAAAACTTTCTTAATATTTCTGCTATATTTTCTTCCCACACAATATGTGAAAATCTTTATAAATAAAAAAGTTACACGATTGCTGAAAATTGCTATGCACTAAAAGTAAATGGATGGGTTGTTTAAAATTTTTGCATGGAAAAAACAACCTTATCGAATTTTCCTTATTTAAACATATTGTAAAAGATCCGATCTTCAAAATAAAAAAAAGTTTCGATATCTAAAGTGGTTCTTAAGTTAATTACCAACGCCGACTACTGCAGAGAATGCGGAGAGAAAGAAGAAACCACAGAGCACCTGCTGTACCACTGTCCGGCACTGGAATACCGACGCGACGCTTTAAAACATTAGGGCAAGGTTTTTTGGAGGAACTAGGGGAAGCAGCAGAAGCCAACATCAGCGACATCGGGAACTTTGCAAAGAGCTGGAAGTGCTTTAACGCAAAGAAAGAATGAGGGGAAGGTTTGGTAGTAACAATAACAGGGGTATCGCAATGGACCCAAGGCCTCCGACTGAGGGATCAAATAAGATCCAAAACCCCAGCAACCTAACCTATGCACAGTGACGAAAATCCTTGAAATATGACAACCATATCGAAGTATGACAATTATGTTGTAAAAGAAAGATAAAAAAGGAACAGAAAAAAAGTACTATTATTAACAAGATTTATTTTATTTTCCATCAAATTTGTTAAACTTACTAAATTTTTATACAAACCGACATTCAACAAAAATTAATATACATATTGTTTTTTACAAATATTCGCTTCGGAGTATAATTAGAATTGTTTTTATTATAAACAACTTCATGTTATATTTCTCTTATTCTAGATTTAATAAATAAAAATCAAAAATATATAACAAATGACTGGGTTGAATACTCTTTAACTTCCACTAATCCGATCATTACATTAACAACAAAATTGGAGATTCTTTTAACATTACTATAGAGAGACCTTTTTTGATCTGTATTTGATATTATTATAAAAATATTGGCAGTTATAATTTTAATATTGTTATTTACAGCTTTACATTATTTATATTAAACTTTTTTAAACTAAATTTATATTTAAGCTGCAAGAGAATAAAAATTAATAGTAATAAATATAGCACAATTTATTTAGAAAACAAAAATATAAGCGTATTAAATTTTAGTTGAGACCATATTAATAAATCTTAAAGTCTACCTGGGCACTCAAATATTATTTTTTTAAGGCACTACAAGAAGGCATTGGGATTATTTTTTTTAATAGAGTCGTCAGCATAGACTTATAAAACAAATAGACTTTACATCTAAAAATAATTTATTTAAATGGTTATTAATTAATATTAAAATTTGAATGAATAATATTTTATTAAAACTGAAATATTTGTTGTCAAGTTATTTAAATTATACAGAATTTGTAAATTATTTTTAATTAGAAGTAAAGCCTATTTATTAGATACTCTATAAATCATTAATTTAAAATTTTCGTGGTTATTTTGTCGAATCGAGAAAAAATGGAATTATCGTATATTAAATAAAATATACATCTTTTTTTTAAGGTTTCTCGTATTAAGTAGTCGACATTTTGATGAAATAGTTTGAAGTATTAGTCTTTTCCTCTGTTAATAACGCACTTATATATAATTACATGTCATAGAATAACTTGTCATAATACGTTTTTCATATAGGCAAAAAATAAATACACTAAAGTATGGCACAGATCTAATTTTATGACAATTTATTCTATGACTCGACACATACAATTACAGTTCTTTCTATTAGCAGACCAACTTTTTCGACTTAGTTTTCAGTAAAAATTAGCTACCCACAATAATTCATCGACACGATTTTTTATATTTACAATAACTGTCAGTTTCACGAAGATTGCTATATTACAATTTGGGCACTAAAATCTTTCTCATAAAGCCTCGTCACCAGGATGATATCCGTTTGATCTTAAAGGCTGTCTTTCCGGAACTGCTGTTGGCCTTTTCCTTTTGAAGAATCCACACTAAAATAAAAATTGTATTTCATTTACAACATTTTTTATATTTTTTAATTATTAAACTTCATTAGTGGATTTATTTTTAACTTCTAACTTTATTTTTCTATAAAAAGAGAATTTTTGAATCTCTAATTTTTTAAACACACTGTATAGGAATATCGCTCTCAGATAAGACTGAATATAATTCTCTCACTAAATTCTTGTTATTAAATAATTAGTATATGAAATGAACAATGTTATCTATACTTACTTTGTATAGAAGTAAAATTACTAGTAACAAAATAAGGGTTCCAGCAATTGCGGATAGTAATATTATCCACAATGGTACAAACTGTGGTTCTAATTCCGGTTCTCCTGCTGGTATATCTGTAAAGATTTCGTGACTGTATAAAGCTTGTTCTTTGGGTTTGCCAATATATGGCAACTCCGAAATTCTGGCGACCATCATAGACGAAAGCTTGATCGGCTGAGTTGTACTTAACTAGAAATATTTAAAAAATATAAATAAATACTATAAATTTTATTGTTATTTAAACATACTTGTCTCACAGCTCTGACATTAAGTCTAGATCGCAAAACGATTGAAATGAATTCGTCTTTCTTAAGGGTTCCAACTACGCATCTTAAAAATAGACATTTTGTGGCAGTGCATTTTAGATAATCTGCTACATCTGGATCAATTTCAACCTAAAAATGAAAATATATGTAGATGTTAGTATATTTTTAATAAAAAATTGTTATGAAATTCATAAAATCTAATCATAAAACGCTATAAATAGTAAATATCGGTTTAGCAGTCACCGCCCCACGTTGGGCGCCAATTTATTTTTTTCTCAAATTTTGACTAGTTGGTATGTAAAAGAAAATAGGCAAAAAAAACAACTTTTTTGGATAAATAAATTCTTCAGAAAATGTACGGTTTACTGATAATGACTGTTGTATAATTTATTCACTAAATTTAGTAAAATATAAAACGTCTTAATAAAGTAACAGTGTATTTAACAATATAATAACAAACTCATAAAATTTAGGACACATAATTCAAAAGAGCCGCTTACTGTCGCTTCTGCATAGCTAAGATATTCTCTACAGTACAAGGCAAGTCCATAATCAATCTTTTAACAGTGATTCCTCTTTGCCACGAATAATTTTATTATTAATAATATCTTACTTGTCTTTTGCCTCTTCGATTGCTGAAATCTGGACGGTCAGTGGCAACGTTGTCACGTTCGATGTGATTGTGTACTTGAGGAACGTCTTCCCATCTATTTCTTTGCCATTCGGATTGGTAACGACTTTGGTCCGAAATTCCGCCTTCCAAAGTACCCGAAAAGGTACCGCCGCTGGTTCTTTGACCAGAATTAATCCATTGTTTTGAATCGCTGGCATCTTGGTCTCTTGACCCAGCAGCATTACCAGCACCAACCATTCCCAAGTCAAGGGTGTGTGTAGCAAATTGGTTACCGGAAGCTGCAGATTGTCCAAAGTCTAACTGTCCCCCACGAGATCGTTGATCATAGGCGTGACGACTTTCACCTTCGATATCATCAAGAGTTGCGGTACCTTCAAAATTCATTATATTATACGTTTAATATTATTATAAATGGTATATTAGTTTACTTTCGACAGTCCATGTCTTGTTTATGGCACCTCCAGCATTCCGGTTTCCTTGAGAGCCCTGTAAATGGCTCTGTAAGTCGATTTCTCCATGGTAGCGTCCTTGGTCGTCGAAATAACCTGTTCGGAGTCGTCCTCCTTCTTGCTGGGAGCTTCCTCTGTTGTTGCTCTATAGTGAAAAAATAGTGTATGCATTATAATAGTGTATATACAGTGTTGCTAGATGGAATAAATTCAATAATAAATAAATGGGGATATGTTCCAACAAACGCTCGGACATTTCGATCGATGTTTATTTTTTTCTACATAAACTTTTTATATAGACAGTGATCAATATCATCTTCCTTATTTTAAATGCAACACCCAACATTATTCAAATTTAGAATTATTTCTAAAATTCTACATAAATTTCATGTACAATGTTCTATACTTATCTTCAACTGTTTAGAAACTATTAAGTGGTTTTAGCAAAATATTGTTTTACTGCAGGAGAGTAGTTGTAGTAGCGCAGAACGTTTCCAATCATTTTTTATTAAATTTATTATATTTGTATTTAATAAGTTATATATAATTAGATAAGAATTAAATGTTGGTTGTTTGTAAGTGCATGATTTCAATGGCTGAACCGATTTGGCCGAACCGATTAAAAAACTAAATATGGAAAACTTTCTTACGCAAAAAAATATACATCTACTATAATATACAGGGTTGTTCACCACATACGACACGGAGTATTGTAGCTAAACGATGAGATTTTTACAAATTGTAAGTTTTGGGTTCGATGAAGGACTATTAGAGGTACAATTTAAAAATAATTTTACAAGATACAGAGTGTCCCAAATAAGTAAAAAATATCAAAGTTGTATTTTTTTAAATGGAACACCCTGTATATTATTACATTTTAGTTTCTACGATTAAAATAAAGGTAAATTTGATTAAGATTTATTATACTTAAACCTTACCGTTTTTGAAATATTTTTCAATTTTGTGAAATTGCAGTAAAAATTTTAAGGCTTCATTTCTTCAAGGGTATCAAAGTTTTTAATACTAAATATTTACTGAAGTTTATTTACTGATCAGTTATTGTGTTGCAATAATAAAAATAATACTACCTTATACAGAGTGTCTAAAAATTTATTTTAAATAATTATTAGCTTCAAACAGCAATAACTTGTTTAATTTAAATGGAACACCCTGTATATTTTACGAGAATCAGATGCACAATTTAATTGTCTATCAAATTATATTATACCATTTTTTACCTATCTCTTTAAGTTTCCGTAGAAAATGCATTTTTCTTGTAATTTAGAACTTATTTATCAATATACCCATGGACTATTGACATTTTAGATTATTTTTAAAGATGTACCAAATTTTTGAAGAATACAGATACTAATATTGTCGATATAATTCGTTTATTTCATTAAACAATAAAAAAAACTGTTTAAATATTTGTTAAAGAGGACCAATTAATATGATTCCAGTATTCAAACTACATTAACTGACTGTTTGCGTTGATTAATAATAATTGCTCCAAATACTAAAAAACTGAATTTTGTATGGGCATTAGACAGTGTGATAAAAAGTAACACCTTAAAAATGATATTTCATTTTTAATAAATGCTTATTTATAACAACAGAGACTTTAATTTGATAACTTATTATTATATTGATTTCTGACTCAAATCCACATTTATTTATAATAATTTATTAACGAACACAATTAAGTATGTAATTAATTAGTATATGGGCGGAAATAATGGTGTTATATTTAATTAATGGTATACTCTTTTATAAAGATTTAAATAGTTTTCTTTTTGCATACAAATGGGCTAGTAATATTATCGTTTTGCTAAAAACGATAATATTACTAGTCTGTATATTTGTACATTTGTTGCTTTAAAAATAATCTAAAATGTCAATATTCCATGGATATATTGATAAATGAGGTCTAAATTATAAGAAAATGTATTTTCTACGAAAACTTGAAGGGATAGGTAAAAAATGGTATAATACAATTTGATAGACAATTTAATTGTGCATCTGATTCTCCTAAAATATACAGGGCATTCTATTTAAATTAAAGAAGTTATTGCCGTTTGAAGCTAATAATTATTTAAAATAAATTTTTAGACACTCTGTATAAGGTAGTATTATTTTTATTATTGCAACATAATATTGCAACATAAATAAACTTCATTAAATATTTAGTATTAAAAACATTGATACCCTTGGAGAAATGAAGCTTTAAAATTTTTACTGCAATTTCACAAAATTGAAAATATTTCAAAAACGGCAAGGTTTAAGTATAATAAATCTTAATCAAATTTACCTTTATTTTAATCGTAGAAACTAAAAATGTAATAATATACAGGGTGTTCCATTTAAAAAAATACAACTTTGATATTTTTTATTTATTTGGGACACTCTGTATCTTGTAAAAATATTTTTAAATTGTAGCTCTAATAGTCCTTCAACGAACCCCAAACTTACAATTTGTAAAAATCTCATCGTTTAGCTACAATACTCCGTGTCGTATATGGTGAACAACCCTGTATACCTACAATATACTCAATATTATCAAAATAAAAATAAATAAAATATATCTAATCATAAATCACTATAAATAGCAAATATAGGTTACAGCAGCAACCGTCTCACGTTGGGCGCCAATTTTTTTTTCCCAAATTTTGACTTGTTGGTGTGTAAAATAAAATAAGAAAAATGAAAAAAGGACTTTTTCGGATAACTGATAATCGGTTTACTGATAATGACTGTTGTATAATTTATTCACTAAATTGATTAAAACATAAAACGTCACAATCGTCACAATGATAAGGAAAATTGGATAAAAAAATATAAAAAATCGACAGAGAAAGTGAAATCAATTTTTTACATAAATTTCTAGATTTTTATTAGAATAGATATTTTACTTTCACATCTTTTACATTTTGAAGTTATGAATAAAATAAGTTTATAGTAAACGCCACGAATGTTTGGGAGTGATTCATCGGTCGCTACCATGTGAACTAATCTGTTCAAGGTCACATAAAACTTAATTCCAGTGCCGTTGTGTTTCAAGTCATATAATAATCAATATATAATCTGTTGTATTTTGTTGTTTTAACTGTCAAAGTCTTGTCAAAACATATATTTGGTTATAAATATAAAATGGAATGCCCCATTGGTCGCACTGCAAGCACACCAATGGACTGACGCACAAAAACGAATCAATCCAAGAAACGCGATATATTATCGTCTTTGTCAATCACGCCAACATTTTAGAATAAGTAGGAGGAGCGCAGGCAGATGATTAAACCGGGCCTTTAAAAACCTACGTCTGCGGTAAAAATTTACGTTTTTAATGTAAAAATAACAGCGCGCGTGTCGATTCTAACTTCATCAAGCGATAAATCACTCCCAAACATTCGTGGCGTTTACTATAACAGAATATTGTCTGTACACTCACTTGCCAATACGACGAACCACTTTGACTACTTTGAGACCTCCTTCGTTCTTCTTCTTGTCGTCGCCTTTCTTCCTGTTCATACTGTCTACGCCTTTCTTCCTCTTGCCTACGCCTTATTTCTTCTTGTCTATATCTCTCCTGTTCTAGACGATATCTCTCTTCGTCAACCCGTCTCCTATCATCTTCCGGTCTTCTCCTGCTATCAACCTGTTGCCTTTAAACATATAATCAAGATATTACATTTTAGTTTAGTTTAAAACGAAAAATACATACCTCCGACTGTCACTGGCAGATAATTGTAATTTTCGTCTTTCCTCTTCTTCTTGTCTTTGTCTTTCTTCCTGTCTTTTGACTTCTTCCGCATATATTCGTTGTCTTTCTCTTTCCTCGGCCAAACGTGTGTCCTCTAATCGTTTTAATTGTTCTTGATAGCGACGTCGTTCCTCTTCTTGACGTAATCTTTCTTCGTTTCTACTGCGATCTTCGCTGGTTTGAACGGAGCCTTGAGGAACTCTATGCGTAGACAAACGTGCTTCTTCTATGCGTCTCTGTTCTTCTACACGTCTCTGTTCTTCTACGCGTCTTTGTTCTTCTATGCGTCGTTGTTCTTCTATACGTTTTTGTTCTTCTGTACGTTTTTGTTCTTCTATACGTCTCTGTTCTTCAATGTGACGTTGTTCTTCTTGATAGCGTCGTCTTTCCTCTTCTTGACGACTTCTTTCCTCGGTTTTGCGTCTTTCTTCCTCGATATCAATAGCGTTTGGGCCTAAAGAAACGTTTATTTAAAACATTGTTTAAACTTATCCAGTATGTCCGACATTTTGAGAAAAATGCATTCTTCATAAAAAATTTTGCTTGTTCTTGTTTTAGAGAAAATTAAGAAAAACATGAAAATATGGCTGAATTTGGTTAAAAATTAATTGGTTAATTATTAATTTTGAATTAATAGATGGTTATTATTAATTTTGATTAATGTCATATTGTTTGCTGTTGCTAAAGTATTGCATTTTTCGACAACTATTATCACCCTTTCCATAGCATTGAACTAAATAAATTTTGCGTTTCTTTAACATTTTAAAACAACAAAAAATATTACGTTAATTAAAATTCTATGAACAACGATATAACAATCCATCAAAGAATGAAAACGAAGTTATATTTACCATAGAAACGCATTTTGATTTCTAGGACTAGAAAAAAATTCAACCATATTTTCATGTTTTTCTTAATTTTCTCTAAAACGGTATGGAAATTTGGAAAAGTATAAACGGGATTAACCATTTTAGAACAAGCAAACATTTTTATCAAGAATGTATTTTTCCCAAAATGTCAATAATAAAAAAGATAATTAATATAAATAGACAAACCTTACAGAACAAAAAAAAAGGTATCCAGTATTAAGTATTTACAAAATTTTTGTTATTGCTTATCTGTTTTTATATCTGACGTATGTAACCTGTGGACTGACATGAATTAACGTATTATTAAAACAAATAAATACATTCCTAAATTATTTTGGCCTAAATAATGCCTAAATGAAAAATATCTATTCACTATGAAGATCCTAAAATTACCTACGCCAATAACTGTTTTAAGTTTTTAAAGATAATTATATTAAATTTTATTTAGTTTTTTTAAGTCCTAGTTTTTTGGTATATTCTTTGGTCTTAGATCAAAATCAATTTCATGTCAATCAATGTATATGATTAGTCTACCTTTTATAAATGTCTATGTAAGAACACCATTAATTTTATATACCTTGTGGTGGTTGATAAACTTTACGTTGTTGTTCTTGTTGTTGTCGTCTTTCTTCATACTGCCTTCTTTCTTCATATTGTTTACTAACGTAAGAATCATCCACATTGCCACTACCTGCACCAGTTTTAACTGAACCACTGCCTCCTTCCCTACAGCATGACTTAGTTTAAAAAACCGTTCAAAATAGGGTTATTTTTTTTCATTCTTACCTTACAATATTATCTTCATGAATAACCGTATGTTCGCGTGATCCACCTTCGTTAATACCACCTCCTACCGTATAAGCATGTTGCTTTTGCACCTTTTTCTCTTTACTATAACCTCCAGTTATTCCACCTTCTCCACTTTCGTTTTGATCAATCTGACCTAGAAATCAAATAAATGATAAAAAAGAACAGATATTTTTAAGAACAAATTCTACCTGTAGCTGATCCTTCAACAGTCGATACATGTTTACTGGAAATTGAAAAATCACTTTCTTCTGACACACCTTTTTCATTTCCCGATGAACTGTAAATGAATTTTGATTTTGTGTGCTTCTTACTGTCACCTAAAAAATATTGTATGTTGTTTCGGGCGTCTAAAACATGATAAAATAATCTTACCAAAACTTTGACCGAAACTATCAACATTTCCACCATTGCCAGATCTATTATCAGAATAAGCGGTTTTGACAATCTTCCCCGTGGCATCCTTAACAGTGGTTACGTTAACCCATTTCATAACTGGTTTGCCATCCACCATAAACCGCTGCCATTCTGATTTGGTGTAAACTGTTTGGCCAGGTTGTATTTGCCCTAAAAATTGAAAAAATTAGATTAATTGTACACTTTTGCTTTCAAAGAATAATAATTTTACCAATTAACTCTTGTTCCTGAGCGCTAGTCCAAGAACCTTGACTACTTCCAGTACTAACACTTGCATTGTGTCTTCGTTCGTACACAACAGAAGCATCACCAGATGAATGGAGGATTTCTTGGTCTAAGTTTGATGTTTGTCCAGTTATTCTACTGCCTCCAGCAACGCCTAATAAGTTTTTATTTGAGTTTTAGTGTTATAAGTATACAGGATGCTACAAATTCGAGGTACGAGCATTTTTCAAATTAGCTGATAATTTGTGAGATACTTTAATTTTTTTAAATATGGACCTTCATTTTTTATTTGAGGCTTTGAAAGAACTCGGTCTCCTGAATACAATGATATGTCATACTTTATACTTTTTTTTAGTTTTGGGTACCTTAACAACAACAAAACTATTTAATTATTATTTAAAATAATTTCAAGTCCGACTCTGGTTTATTAAATTATTTAATCTGATTATATCCATCGCAACAATAGTGATCAACGGTAATTATCATTGAACAAGGAAAACCGAGCCAACTGGAAGACTCAAATAAATAATATCCAGGTCAGAAATTTAAAGATATTATTTTTAACTTTTTTATTGTGAATTTGATATTTCAGTGTGCATTCTAATAATATGCATAATATTAATCGTAGTTATTATAAATAAATCAACTTCTACAAACTAGTTTCTAATGTTCTACATGTTCGAAAGGGTTACCACCCTCCCTATTGCACAAATTTATTTTTCGTTCAATTTTATTTATAAGTCTTTCAACTTTCTTCTTATACTTCCGAATGCATTTTGTACTGTTTATTGTAAATGTTGAGATGAATTGATTTGACACTTTTACAAATGACGTCAAGTAATGTAGCCCCTTGACGATACGTCCAGGAACCTCGCTGGACTACCATTTCCAATCCATCTTCCGAGAAAATGATTTGATTGTTTATATTATATTATATATATATTAATTACTTTATTGCATTTGATTTTCCGTATTCAATGTTGTACCCCACGTCATTGTTAAGTTTGAAAGCTTATCTCTCAATATTGTAACGATGAATAGATTAAATATTAAAAAAAAACAGAGCCGGGCTTGAAATTAGTTTAAGTAAATTGTGTTCAAATGTCAAAACAAAAAAAATATTATGTGGCTATGAGAATGTGCAATTAGTTTTTCGATTTTCTAAAAAGTAACGACAGAAAAAAATAAAAACGATTTTCAAAAAAATCAGTTTTGTCCAAAAAACTCAGTAATCCTTGAAATTTTTAAAACTTTTTTCATGGCATCTTGGTGAACATCCTAATACGCAACTTTGCCCCAATTTAATCATGTTCGTATCTATTACGGTTACCGAGATACCAATGCTCGTACCTCGAATTTGTAGCACCCCTGTATATTAAAGAATAAAAAATTAATTAAACAAATAATAAAAAAATATATAAAAAATACTAATATTTTAACTGTAAAAAATATTAAAAGAAAAAAATTGGAAAAAATATATGTTAAATAAAAAAATTAAAGACAAATAAAATTAATATTAAAATAATATGATTAAATACTAAAAATATAAATATATAAAAATAAAGCCAAAAGAATACCTGTAATATTAGTTCCTGATTCTACTTTGACTGAACCATAAGATTGCTGGAGGTTATGACTGGCTGAATCAATTTGTAATCGTTCCCATATAGGTTTAGAATAATAGTCCAACTAAAAGATATTTTAATTACAAACAATATATTATTTGAAACAGTTTATCAAAAATATTACTTGATAATTCTTGTAATTGGCTGGAACTAAATCACATTTAACACCTGCAGGTACATGAGGAGGTTCTACTAAATACAACAAGTCTTCACCTAAAAAAAATAAAACAGATTACATATTTTTGCTGAATTTCGAATAACATCCAAATTTTGAGAATCAAAAAGCACTCGGTTTAAAAAATACATTAAGGTATTTTTGGAATGGAAACATGCTTAATAACAGGTCTACTGAGCAAAAGGTATACCGGGTGTTGCATCGTCGGACGGGACATAGGAAATCCCATGTAAATTTTAATGAGGTCAATTATTGGCTTCCCAAACTATTTTAGAGAATAATTCTATTTAGGTTTATTGAAGAGCACTAAAACCCACATTCAAAAGAATAACTTTAGATATTTTTGATTAGCTCGTTTACGAGTTATCGCCGATTTCTTTTCAAATATTTCTCCTTTCATATGGCCCTGTATTTACTTATGAGCAGTCAAGGTAAAAGATAACTATCAAATGAAGTTGTCATTTCAGAAATTTACCTATTTAGTGCTTTATTATTATTGAAAACTCATTCCTACATCGGAAATCTTAAAGATGTATTTATAAATACAAATGAATATGAATTAAAGTAAAATAAAGTAATCAATTACAAGGTTAATTATAGTATTATTACAATATTCAATAACTTATTAATTTAGGTACTATTAAATTGTTAGAACTTTAGGATTTATGAAGATGTTCAAATATTCCTCCATCGACTGCTAGACAATAACTCAGGCGATCATAAAATTCTCTTCTTACATTCGCTAGTTGGTAAACTGAAATTCTATTGCATTCCGCAGAAATAGCATTTTTTAACTCGTCGATTTGGGTATTTTTTATCCTTGTATATCCTGTTTTTTAAATTGCCCCAGAGAAAGAAATCATTTGGCGAAATATCAGGAGACCTTGCTGGCCAATTTACTGTATGATTTAGGCCAATAACGTTTTCGGTAAAACTATTGTCTAAATATTCCCGAACAGCCAGAGTACTATGTGCCGGGCAGCCATCCATTTGGTACCAAACTTCCTGATTTTCCCTAGCGGCATCATGTAAAGCAGGTAAAATATAATTTTCGAGTAGTTCCAAATAATATTCTGCATTTAAATTTCGCGTAAGAAATAATGACCCGATAATATTGTGCCAGAATAGCCCTGCCCAAATATTTACTTTCTGTGGATATTGCGTCCTTGTTTCGACAAACCTGTGTTGGTTTTCTTTGTTCCAATATCGATAATTTTGAACATTGGGTTCATTATTTAAGGTAAACGTGCCTTCGTCAGTGAAACATATGGTTTTTAAAAATTCCCTATCCGTGTTTGTTTTTTTCATATCAAAACAAAACAGCCTGCCGCCGTATTTCGTCCCTATCTCGTAGCTCTTGGTGCTTTTCATATTTGAAGGAATAGTATTTATGTCGTTTCAAAATTCGAAACGCCGTAGTGTGATCTATTCCTATTTCATCCTCAAGTTTCTTTGTGCTGATCATTCCATCGTTCTCTTCCACGCACAATAAAACTTCCAAGTCGGTATCATTTCTTGCATCTTCTCTTTGTTCCTGCCTTACTTCACATCTGCAGTTATTTATTAGGGTACCTTTGCTCTCAAATCTCTGGATATTCCTTGCGATTGTAGATTTTCCAGGTTCGGTCTATTCGGATACAGAGCAGTAAACATGTCCGACACCTTTTGATAACTATTTCCTTGATAATACAATTTAATCATCAATACTTTTTCTTCGGTAGTGTAATTCATGGCTAATATTTTCGATGTAGGTATGAGTTTTTAATAATAATAATAAAGCACTAAATAGATAAATTTCTGAAATGACAACTTCATTTGACAGTTATCTTTTACCTTGACTGGTGCTCATAAATAAATGCAGGGCCATAAGAAAGGAGAAATATTTAAAAAGAAATCGACGATAACTCGTAAACGGGCTAATCAAAAATATCTAAAGTTATTCTTTTGAATGTGGGTTTTAGTGCTCTTCAATAAACCTTAATAGTATTATTCTCTAAAATAATTAAGGAAGCCAATAATTGACCCCATTAAAATTTACATGGGATTTCCTATGTTCCGCTCGACGATGCAACACCCGGTATAGTATTCCCTTTAACAATATACAACTATATTTTGAAAATATGTTTGAATCACCCTCTATATTGACAAAAGTATTATTAAAATATATGCTACTATTGGCAGCCTATTTTAATAAAAGTATTACAAATTGGAATAAAAGTTCCAAACCAAATAGATCATATAAAGCTTCTTTGGAACGCAGCGCTGGTACCCCCTGTACATATATTTTAAACTTACGATGTAAGCTATTATTGTGTTAGTACCTGCTAAAGTTTGCCATGGCCACAAAAAGTACATTTCTGCTTCATAAATAGGAGCTGGACCCTTGTTTTTGAGCGTGTACAAATGAACTACTTGAGGACCTATGTCTGATTCCTTGTCTATTTTTTCACTGGTATATTGCGAAGTATTGGGCAAATATATTTCTTGAGGTATTGATCGTCTAAGATATAAATTTATGTAACAAACTATATTGAAAATAAGTATGTTGAACCTTACCCGCTTACATCCAAAGCGGAATCAACCCATATATCAACAGATACAGTTTTAAAGTTGTCATCAACGGTAGATTCGTCTTCAGGGTTTGTGCTGTTGACATGCATTTCGAAATCATAACTTGGAGCCATGCCTTGCTTGTGGTACGGCACAAAAATCATTCTAAATTTGGCCTAAAAATATATGATATATTATTATTTCCCTTTTAAAACGTGTAAATATAATTTTACAATTTTTCCTGCAGGTAATGGATTCCCGATATCACAAGATATAGTTCTGTTGGACCCGGTACTACACAAAATCCCTTGTGCATCGTCCTTGGTTTCGATTTTTCTGTAATATATTCCTTCGGGATAGGTAACATCGAATGTAGTCTCAAATGCATCTTCTCCAAAGTTCGAGACGATTATATCAAACTCGAGGTTAGTGTTTGACTCCAACAAATATTTTTCAACATTTCTGGAAAATCAATAAATTAACGTTTATTTATTTATTTCTGTTCAACGAGAAAAGGAACGATTTTGATAAACGACATCCAAAAATTGTAAAAAATATTACTGTTGAATTAAAATAACAAATAACAGCTGTCACTGTCATCTCTGATAACTGAATTAATTTAATTTGTATGTCGTCTGTCAAAATCGTTCCTTCTCTCGTTAGACAGACTTTAGTTACTTACTTAGTAACGCTAAGATGGAGATTGGGAATGCAAATATTATCGCGGCCGCAATTTTTCAGTATACTAATAGAATCTTTTCTAGAAGGAGGCAAATTTAAATCTAAGACTGGAGTAAGCGTTGACTTTGGATTTCTAGATCTGCTGTAATAAGTCGCGTCTCTGTCTTCTTGAATCATAAAGTACTTGACTTCTGCTTCTAATGGTGTAAGTTTGTCGCGAATATTATTCTACAAAAGATACAAATTAATTACTTCATAATTTAATGAGCTGTGATACACATTTTCTAAAATAGATTGAGTACTTACTTTAATGTAAATTTTTTCGTTTTGACAAGTGTTCTGGTTATCTTTATACAAGATGATCGTATCGTTAAGTGTATTCGAGTTTCCTCTTAAAAATGCCATTCTTGGAAGGTTCAGTTTTTTTGTATCCAAGATGTATTGTACGTTTAGTCCTATAAAAAAATTCTGTTACATTAAAATTAATAATGGTACACTTCAGTTACTAATAAGAATCTAAACAATTTTTCTATATCAGTTACAGAGATCAGAGATATTCTTTCGTATAATAGACACATATTTGTTTCAATTGGAACATTATTGTAATTATTTTACTTACTGATTTGTTGAGGAATTCCTTTTCCGCTGTATTTAATGCAAAAATCTATTGTGGTACATGTACCCCTCTCTCCACTGGGTATTACACAGTCTTTTTTCTTAATATCAATTTGGTTGTTTTCAGTCAAAAATTTAACATGGGCTTCAACACGAACCACAGGTCTCGATCTAATGTTAAAATATTGATTACAGTTGAGGGTTGGAACCTTTGGTGTTACACAGCAAAATAAAAACACTAAATCACCACAATATACCAATACCAATGACTAAAGTATCCAAGGACAAATAACACCCGAGAGCAAATTGTGACGATGACACCAAACAGTGCCGTGGCACATATTTTTCTTAACCTAGCTGTTTGAAGCAATATTTATATTTTTTGATAATTGTTTTGACTACGCCTATGGTGTATCATCCTAATTAATTACGAAAAATACGTATTAAAATGTTAACAAAAGGTACAAAACTAGTATGGACGCATAGCACATATCAAGTACATATAGATGTTAATTGAAATTGAAGAATAATTATCGAATTCAATAAGAAAACGCTAAAAAGTTGGAGTGAACTGTTTATTTACCTATGAAACTGTGAATAAGAAGACTAAGGAAGGAGCATAATGCTATCCATGTATTCATGCATGGTGGGCGGAAAAAGCACTCTAGGGTGGGGATCCTTGACAGTTCTGTTTGACGATTCATTTGACACATTTGAATTTGACTTGAAATTTTGTGGATTTGTCAGTCTTTACCGAGCTTATTTTATGTTATTTATTATTTATTCTACTACTGATAGTTGTATAAACGTTGTAAATCTAGATGGAAATTGTGGCAGAACTTAAATTAACAGTGACACTATCGCGATTTATCGAAAAAGACTCTAAAATAGTTGGTTGTGTAGCGTGCGGTAGATCTCGGCAAAAATTGAGTGAAATAATGGAACAACTTTTCGCTAGTAAGTGACTAAATAATATACATACGTGTAGTAAACCGATCATTTATGAAATTCACTTAAATTAACTAAATTATATAATTTTCTTGCATTTTAGCTTTTATTTACTACTTGTCAAAGATCAGATGTCAAAGAATTTTGATACGTTAATTTGACTTACCTGCTTCAGTAGCGTATCGGATGTTTGTGTTAATAAATACTTATTATAACTTATCTATTTTTATTAGAATTATATATTTTAATAACAATTTTAATAACTACCAACATTTATTCACAACGTAAAATAAAATAACAAATTATTGAGTCTACCCCACGTCTACCCTACGTCATAGTTTTGCATTTTTTAAATAAAATTAGAACGGCACTGATAAACCGGAATTTAAGTCGGCCATATTTGAGGCCCATCGCGGTGTACCTAAGATTTTTGATATGCTCCTTCCTTAGTCGTCTTATTCAAAGCTATGAAACGTAACTCCTGGCTCTTTCTTATCACTGCTGCTTTTACACTTGAAAGGTGAACAACTAATCACCATTGTAATAAAGTTTATACAAAGTTTACTACACACAAACTATTAAAAATCGCTAAAATTGTCGCTGGTGACCAAATGATGACTCATTTTTGCCTTTTGCCAAAACAATAAAAAAGGTCACAAATTCTGCTGCAGCCCGTATAGGGGCGTTACATGTCCTTATATTCTTTAGGCATTGACCAAAACACTTTTACACTGAAAAAGTGTAAAAGTAAAAGTGTTTTGTTGTATTGTGGTGATTTAGTGTTTTTATTTTGCTTAAAATATTGAACATAAAACATAATATTACGATAAAAATAATAAAATATTACGTACTAATTTTAACAGAAAATTATGTACTGTATGATAAAAAAACGGCGTCCAGTTGGTTTGGAAATAATATAAATTTAACATACAAAATGACAGCGATCTTCTTTCCAAGCCATCTCTGACGCTGTTTTTTACGATCGTATGATACTGTAACTACAATACACAGCAATGATCTATTATTATTCGAGTATTTTTATCATCAGTAGAAGATTTTTACTAACCACGTTAGCATCATCATCAGAACACAAATAATAGTATTCGTTATCTGCTGATGTTGCTAATATGTGTACAGATTTTGGAAGAAGTCAGTATTAAAAAATCATATCAACCTGAAAAAGAACGCTGAGTTTGCTAAGTAAGCTCCAACAGCCATATCTGGATAATCATTTCCATCCATGTCCAGCCCGCCAGTAATTGAAAACCCGAAAGTGTTTACTGGAATGCCATTGGTGGATTGGACGTCTTCAGCGTAGATGACTTGGCCATATTTCTCTAAAACACCCTCAGAAGAACCGTAGTAGATGTAGATTGCACCTCTATTGAATTCACCATCGTATGGAGCACCAACAGCAAAATCTGGTAAAAAATTTAAATTTGAAATGTTGAAAATAATAGCTTCTAAAGAAATGTTAACTCTTTTAGATTTCTCTTATAATGTAACTTTTTTAATAAGTTGTTAATTATCAGTAAATACTTTTTAGACTTCTGTATGGCTTCCTTTTTATCAAAACTGTAGAACGACGAATGATATCTAATCCTATGCATCTGTATTTGTAAAACAATTGCAGTTAACATCCACCGGGAGCTTTAAATTATTTAAAATATAAATAATACCATTAAAATAAAATTACCTTAAATCCTGTTGATACTATTGTATTCGTAAATTTATAAAAAAAATGTTTAATAACAATGAAATATTTATTTATGTCGTCTCTTTTATTATATGTAAATAATACAATTGTATACAATAGAAAATGCACATTTACGATCGTATTGGCACATGATCCATGTCATTTGTTTCTTTTAATGCGTTTGTGACATGGTTTTATTTTAGCTTTCATGGATGAAATCATCTAGTTGATGATGTATAGCATTGACAGTTTTAATGAAAACCAAACTCCGCAAGACTGTTGCTATTTTGCTATTTTTATATACTTCATGTTGTATTACGTACTACTGATTTATTTTAAAAGTTTTATTGATGCAGTACGTATTTTTATGCACAACATTTATAAATAGAATTTTGTTTTTAAAAAAGTATAATCACAGCATATCATGCATATGAATAATGTATAATATTGAGAAAAAATTACCCAAGTAGCATTTTCACGACTTGCGACCAAATGTTTACTAAACACAACGTTGGATTAGTTACAAAAAATAGTTAGCTCCGTACCTTGGGTATTAAAATAAATGTAAACGTTGTTGTGACGTTGTGCCGACTTTGAACTAGTACTACAACAAAGTAAAAGCTTCTGCGACGTCGAATAAACGTTGCCTTCTAACCTTTTTTGCTTAAGTGATTTTTAGGTAATTCGGACAACGTA